TCTATGAGAAAACTACTTCATTAATCCCCTCAGTAAACATTCTAAACATGAGTTTATCATCTGAAATCTCCAGTTTCAGGCCTTCTTCAATACAGCATGATGTTCATTTAGTAAATGATGGTCCATTTGGAGTCCAGGAGACCATGAAGCAGGGGATGCTTTAGGGCGTGATTGACAGGTCTTTGCCTCAGTCATGAGTCATGATGACCACGTTCACCTCTTTTATAAAGCTTATGGTTTGAGCTGAGGTTTTTGACATGTAGAATACACTTAACTGTTAAATATTCTTTACCACACATGATGATGGTGTACAGCCGGTATGTTAGGGTTCCTCAGTGGGGCAAGTTGGTTCACAATTGAGTCCCGTCCACTAAGGAGGGGAAAGCAATCCATCACTTTCCATTGACCAGCAGGACCAATGTGAGAACTCCATTCTATTCCCCTTCAGAGCTCCAGTTCTAAGCTGGGACTCAACTATATGTGTCGTATACTGAAGGTAGTGTTTCCTTAAATGGAATATCTTATTTCTTTTAGGAGATTGAGTCGTATTGAACTACTCTACTAAATGGTATTTCTGCAATCGTTCATGTTTTCTTCTTCCTGTTCTATTCCTTGGGCTTATCTGTCTACCCCCCGTTGCCCCCATCCTGTCTTCGCGGCTGTGATGGGTAGAAACTGACAGGGGGGAACGAACTGATTGGGGAGCTCCCGCCTCTCCGCCTCTCGTATTTCCAGTTCTGACAGTGTGAGGTGCAGAGGCTTTGGATGGCTGGATATGATGTGTTTTTGTTTTTTTTGTAAATACTCACAAACCCACTTTAGAATCATGGAAAACACGTATGGAGTTCGTTTTAGTCATTTCTAAAAAAAAAGGCACGTGATACAATGGATTTGACCGATTTGATGTTCATCACCGTGGTCTTTGTCATCATGAGCATAGATGTAGCAAACCGCGTTAGTGATGGTCCCTTCATCCGGGTAGCCCACATGCGACCACGCGCGACTTGTTTAAGCCAGTGATCCAGCAGAAAGAGCAGCGCTCACCTGGAAGCTAAATGGGAAGCCGTCATGATGGAGGTCAGCCAGGAGAAAGGTTCCACTGTTGACTTTCCCATTTCGCAGTCGCTGTCACCGTCAAATAAATCTGCTTCGATGGCCAAGTTTACGGTCGGGGTCAGGGTCAGGGTCAGGCTTTGCTACGGTTCAGGAAAATATGTGAGTTAAAATGAAGAGGGGGGAAACGTTGTGTTTACGGTCAACACAAACCACAGAGTCGTGTTGTGTGTGTACACATGTGGCTTCTAGGAGACAGAGAACGGAGTCATTTGACTTCCGCCTATAGTGGAAGTGATGCTACATTCTCCTACGTGAGCCTGGTCGGTGGTTCTTTAAAGTCAGGTCATGGAGAGCTGGGTGGAAGAACCGATGCTGGGTGAGAGATAAGATGTGCGTCGATACTCGTACATCCATAAATGGATTAAGGTTTCCATGTATGTCTGATTGGGCTGGTGTTGTAATCTTTTCAGATGTAATTCGTATTGGATGACTGCGAGTAATCCGTCGACACATTAGGGCCCCGTCAACAAATGGTGACTAATTCTGTATTTTGACTCAAGCTCAAGTACCAGCTTCAGTCCGTCAGCATTTTACAGCCTCCCTTCTCTGCTCTTTCTTTCTTTTCGTTTCTCCTCTCCTGACCTCCTGGGGACACCATCTTTCTCTCTGTCCATCCCTGTCTCCCCCCCCCCCCCACCCCCCCTTTGCTTTTTCCTTTACAGTTTGGAACGGGAGAACGAGCTCATCCTCCGGCTGCATCCTCACTTTCTCCTCACCCACCGTCTCTCTTTGCCAACGCTCCTTGTTTCCTCCCTGTTGATTAAAAGTAGGTCATTCTGCAGCATCGAGCCACAGCTCCCGCCGAGCATGACATCCTCACATCCACACGGTATCGCCTGGCAACCACACGCTCGCCCTGCACCCCCTCCCTCCCCCCCTCCTCATTCCCTCCATCTTACCTTCCCTGGAGGCGGAGCTTGGTGCAGAGGGCTGGGTTTGCAATCTGACACCGCTGTTTTTTGTCCCTGCTCTGCTTCTATAGAGGTGGGGGGTTAATTGAGCGGTGTTTTGTCAAGGAAAGGAGGCTTCATTTCACGCATACACAACGTGTCCATTCATGTGTAAATATGTTAAATGGGAGGGGACAGTCTACCTTTCTGGGTCTGAACACTGAAGGAACCACAGAATGTGTTGCAGAGGCAAAGGTTTGATGCGTTTACGATGTGTGCTGGAGTGAGCTTCCTCTCGGTTGAAGCAGAGGGTAACCAGGCCGTGCAAAGTGGCAAACAGAGTGTCTAAACGGTGGGAGGCCGCGGCACGTGGAGGGAAAACGTGGAGGCCATCTTGGTGAAACCGTGGCACCAAAATTCTTGCCTCTAGAATGTTTCCTCTTCCTCCTGTCGCGAACCTGCATGAACGAGGGAAGTTTGCAGCATGGAGCTTTAAAAACGATCTTTCTCAGCTATTGTCTGCAGCCACAACATTGTGATTTCATAATCAGTTGTTGACCAAATACAGACGTTATTACAACTGCTGGGCTACTCCAATAGTTATCAAATCATAGGGAAAGAATTATCGAGTGAGGAAATGATGCCTAACCAGACCTCGTCGAATAGCCCTGATCGATACTAAGGAAGTGATGTCACTTTAGCATGTGACCTGTGACCTTTTAGAGTGTGTGTGAACAATGGCCTCTCAATGTATATTTGTGAGTGTGTGTGTGTGTGTGTGTATCATGGGTTCAAAGGCTGCAGGCGTATGGGGGGGCCGGGGGGGGAACACAAGCACATACACACCTCTGGGACAGTCATTAGTGAGTTGGGGAGTGCTAGACCTCTTATAGATCAGCAAGTGATAGACTGGACATGAGAGTGGCCACACACACACACACACTGTCCCATGAGGTTGTTGAGAGTAGCTCAGCGAGGGAGAGTTTCTGTGTGTGTGTTTGTTGGAGAGCATCAAGGACATCAGTCGTTTCTTTATTCACTTCACACGTACAGTCTGTGAGGAAACACAGCTGAGTGACCGCTGGACAAACTCACTATATCTCCTGTCTCATTATTAAGAAACACCAACAGCTTCTGAGACACATCAATATCTTTGAATGGGAAACCTAGATATGCTTTGACTTGATCAAATACCAAGTATTGCTCCTTCAAAGTTCTTACACTCCATGTACGTACTGTGTATGATTCAGTCTTCAATCTTTATTCCACCATGACGTACAACCACCACCGTCTAATCTTACGTACAGACCCCAACAATTCATTTCTTGGGGTCCGTCTTCCCGACCCACCATAGTGCTTGTAAAGCCCAGGGACAGATATGCCTCGTCATACCTACATACTATAAATCGATTCCCTGTGTGGTTTACGCTCAAGTCTTGATTGGCACGTGGCGCCGTTTATAGCTCTAGGCGTGGGCCACAATCAGAACGACCCCAGTCGACCCTGCCGTGGGGGGGGGGGGGGGGGGCGGGGTCACACTCTCTAGTGTGTTTCCCAGCCCACTTAAAAGGGTCTGCCACAAAACAAGATGACAAAGAGAGTCACAAGTATTTCACGGGTCTGCCGGCTCCTCAAGTAAGGCATAATACTTCTGTGGGCTTCTGCAACGCACTTAACCCAGTTCAACAAACCCAGAAGTGGGATAGTGCAATCAGAGGGGGTGCACCGCTTGTTTGACTATTGGATGAACTCCTTTATTCCTCACAGAAGAGAAAGGATGACGCTACAGAATATAATTTTTCCTATTTCGAAAAGGTTCTTTTTACAACGCCGTTGAGGAGGACGGTAGACGCATTCATGCATATGGGTAATTAAATGAACGGAGTCTACCTGTGTCCTCCAGGGGACCGAAGGCTGAGAATCAGCCGATGAGACAGAAGCTCAGACTGGTAGAGTTTGTGACCCACGTAGGGAACCTTTGAAAACTGTGAAATGAATGCTAATGGTAACATCCTGTAGACATCCTGCAGTGTTGGGGACAGAAACCGCTCATTCTCACATCAACAATACATTTTGCTTTCATGGCATAGAGGCATGTGAGGGATTATAAAAGGTGGATTTAGCTGATACCAGTGGGCTGCTATCACTGCTGCACTGTTGATCAGTGGCCTCATGGATGTGGATGGGAAATGCCTGCTACTACCATTTACATGGTTGATTCCCCGTATGAATCGAATCAATACAAGGCCACCATAATGGGTTTACACAGTGACAGAGGCTGTGTGGGGGGGTGTAGGCCACTTGGACCATCTGGAGGCGCAATGGTAACGGTGACCTCTGACCTGCTGATCACATTTGAAGTGAGTTGCTCTGCACAATGCACTCATCAAAGCGGCGCGGAAATGACAGTAGAAATGTGTTACAAAGAAGTGAGCCGTCTGCAATCAGCGCTTAGTTTGCACAGTATCGTATGTTTCCTTTGCAGAATAACTTAAGCGCAAACTGTACGGCAGTGTGTGTGTGTGTGTGTGTGTGAGTCTTTTACGCAGACCTCCAGGCAGTCTGTGGGTTAGAGTGTGTCTCTGTATTTGTGCGAGTGTTTGCAGCAGCAACACAGACAGCGAGGACAAAAGAAAGAGGGAAAGAGCATCCTGTGATCCTGAGGGCGGCGCAGAGACGAGCTCCTTGAAAGCACACAGCTGGAGAAACAACGCGTTGTAGACAGTCCTGAGGCGCGTGTGTGTGTGTGTGTGTGTGTGTCTGCTGTTAGTTGTGCTTCTTTCCCGGGCTAATGAGAAGTCAGCACAGCTCATCGGAGTGATTTTATCATAACTGTCCTCTCAGACTTGACTCTTGCAGTATCACAGCCCGGCCCGTCCAGGCGTCTAGTCAGAGGGGCCTTTGTTGGCGGTATTGGAACAGTGGACAACGCTCCCATACGCGCTGCACGCTGCTGTATTGTGTTGTTCACCTGCTGTCTTTGTGTGCCAGCAGGTCTGCGAAGAGGCCACAGGGTGGACAGGCGGACCACAAGGAGCCACATCAGTGAACGTAAGTCGCTGTGACCATCGTTGTGATGAAGAGCCTTTTTTTTAAAAAGCCAGACCTCATGGCAATGACAACAGCTGTGGAATATTAAACTAAATCTCACATTCTCCTCGCAACATTTTCTTCAGAGAATTGTACCTGTTTTCATCGTGAAGGTTGGGAATGTTTCAGCTGGTTATTCACACGGCTGTGGTTGCTTTCGTAGCGGACGGGGATTCGGTACACACAGTGTGTAACACTCAGCCATACGAGTGCAGTCAGGCGGAGGGCAATTGGGTTGTTATGTGTTTGGCTGCTTGAAGAACAGATGTGGTAAAGCCGTGTCGGGGATCTGTATGGAGGTCAGAGAAAAGGTTTGGATAGCGTGTCAATGCCTGCAGCTTTGCCACCGTCTTACAGCAATAGAACGAGGGAGGAAATGGACATGATTTGTATTCAGAGCAAAGCTTCTGTCTTTTTATCTTTTTCTTCATGCTACGTTGGAGTAGCACAGATCTGTGTGACCTACATTCACGTTCATTAATTTAATATATGCAGTGAATACATCGTGTATAAGAAGTTGTATTACTTCTAATCTCGGTCACATTAAGAAGCGGAGAAAAGGACAGATTTGTGGTTAATTATGCAAATCTCCACCACTGCCGACCAGACTACGCTGAAGGTCCTGAACACTCAGATGAACGCAGCCACCTTCATGGCGGCGGTGCCTTTATCAGGAAGCCATTGTGACTCAGAGGACCTTTAGCACGATGCTTCTGATAACAAACACAGATTAGTATGTATTTATGATTAATGGAAGTCAAAGTTCGTTCTTTAACAGGGACTAGTTAGCTTAAGTTAAGTTGAGTTCATTTACTGTGTGACACCCACTCAAAATGTTAAGCTAACTCAGCTCAAACTCCACTACACTGTCTCCACGTGGTACTTTACATTGAAGATAAAGGTGCACAAAAGGAGCACGGCTCGCATCTAATTTATTTTAGGGGTAAAACCCCTTTTGTAAAAATGATGTTGGAAGACATTCTACATGTCCATTACTGTAACGTGTCTGCAGCATGTGATGTACTGTAGCTTTCCTCGTCCTTGGGCCAAGTCTGTAAAAACCACCTTTAGAGGAAAATGGTCCTAAAATGAGCCCTAATACCAACATTCAGCAGCTTGATTGATGCGTTCTGCACACGGCCTGACGGGACTGTTACATGTGATCGGCCGTGTTTATAATATCCGTCTCTCCTCGACGTCTAATGGCTGGAGTCATGTGATATTTAAAGAACGCCTTTCTTAACTGCCTCATTTAGCAAATTAAGGCAGCTTGTAGAAGTGGGTTAACAGTTCTATCCGTCTGTGTCATCGTTTTCACTTTGAGCTTCTGGCAAATCTCTCGGAAGGTCACTAAGCAGCGCTGCCCGACACACAGCGTACACTGCACCCGTAATACAAATGAACATGCTCACTTTGGAAATAGCCTGCAACAGGCCGACGTGGCTCTGTTAGAGCCTGCAGCAGAGGACCCAGAAGGGAGAAACCGGACGGAACGTCGGCCATTTGTGTTCACGCCATCGGCGCTTGTGTCTGTGACGATAATGTGCGGCTGACGTTTTGGACCTCGGGCAGAACTAAGGTAGCGCTGACCTGGTTGAGTTGTGGCTCATGTATTAGGTCACCCTGTGAATCTGTTTCTGCAACTCTGAACCAAACTATGTCAACTGGTGACTGGAAACAACTTGCATTGGACGTATCGGTCAGCGTTCTTCTGGCCTAAACGCACTCTTCAACGCCCATTAAACACCTTGATTGAGCCACTCAATGCTGAAAACCAGCAAAGCAGATGTTTCCCTACCAATTCAAATGTGGGTTTGGCAAATCATCAACATCATCACCATCTCGTTGGATAAGACGATACACGTGAGCCCTAAATGAGAATTTACACAGATGATTACACAGGCTTCATAAACCACTTATCTGTGAAGAATACTTCTGTTTTGGTGTTAATTTGCCTCTGATTCCCACATCGGCCACAACATGACGTCTTCTCTCATACAGGAAGTTAACGAGTCACCGTTACTGTGGTCGTGTCTCCCCACAATGTGCGTATGTTTGTATGTTAGCTGACATTTGCAATATTCATGTGGTGTAAAAATAGTTTTCTTTAATTGTTTTCTGTGGCCTGATAGAGACATTTCCAAGCCGTGAGCTTCCATATGTGGTATGTGTACTATGCAGCATGTGACGTTCACTGACCCTGTTTCTGGCTATTGTGCGCTCTGCCTCAGTGTTTCACTGTGTGCTGTCATTCATAATGCACTGCAGCGTGTGAAGCCTCCACACGTGGGAAGTAACACTGACCTATTTCAGAGGCTCCACTGATATTCTCTCTCTCCTCTGGATCTGGATCTGGATCTCAGTCTGGGAACAGAGCAGATGTCTGTGTTGGGAGGCTGATGGTGGACTTTACGAGGCTCTTCTCTTCATCCCCCTGGTTATCGCTCTGTTGGCTTGTGCGCTCTAAAGAGTTCAGTAATAAACAGAGACGGTTGATGCGGGTCACCGGGGCTGCTCATACGTGTGTTTTATGTAAACAAGTGTGTGTTTGTGTGTTTGTGTGGGTGTGTCTTCACCCCCAGATGGATTGTATGTAACGTGTGTGTGTGTGTGTGAGGTGTTTGCAGGTTTTGGGATGGAATCCGAGTTCTGCCCTCAGGACAGAAAGCTGTTGTGTTTCTCTGTGGTCCGTCTGGCATTTTGCAGTTTAACCACAATAAGACTGAATTGTGTATTTTTCATCATTTTGATCATTTTTTGAGTGAACAGATGAATGATTCCTCGTGGAACTCCACGTTTCACGCTGATCACTGTACAGTATAAGGAACTGCTAAATGATTATTATTATCTGACGTTTTTGATGATTTCTTTTTGTCACTTCTGCCTCACAGCATGAACAGACAACTATAAATCAATAAGCTAGTTAGCAGCAGCAGACACAAGAACAAATGTAGTAAAGTAACAGAAATACTCTCTAAACATTGATATTAGATGACTTTGTTCATCTAATGTGCTTATTCATATATTACCTCGATAAAAGTCGCAGTGGTCCTCCGCTCCGCCACAGTTCATTTGACGTGTCCTCCGTTCTTAAATTGACTTGATTATTTGAAATGTCAAACTCACGTCAGCACCTCCTCCCTTTTCCTGTCGTGTCCTGTTGTCATGGCGTTGAGCTCTGCTGGGACGTGATTGATCCTGGTGGGAGGTGGCGGCGTGGGGGGGCAGGGATTAACAGGGGCCAGGTGGTCCTCGGTACCAGCGCATGGACTGCCTCTCCTGTGGAGGACAGTCTGCCGTTTAACGGGGCGCTAAGGAGAGTGTAGAAAACACGGATGCAGTCCGCGTTGCCCAAAGCTGCAACACAGAGACTCCACCATCTTCGCCAGGTTTTGAGGTCAGAATCGAGGAGAAAGGCAACGGGTGCAGTGGAGCACAAACTGGTGCATGTTAGCACATGTTAGTTTCAATTGAATGACCGAAACGCGTACAAATATCTTTTATTTAAATGGTAATTACCTGTTTTGTTAGACCATGTTTTTAATTATTATTTTAAAGGTCTGTTGCTCACTGGCTCTAAATACACATATGATCAACCGATGAGCGTTTTTTGGGGGGGGGGGTTATTAATATTATGCATCACTGAAAATGTGTTTTTTCACTGGGATTCTCTAAAGGAAATCCAGTACAAAACATGGACTCCCAGCTGTGTCCTCAGTGCTGGACCAGCTCCCTCTACCAGGGACACGTGCTACTGAACACAGATAATTGACAGACACATAGATTATCCATAGATATATAGACTGTTTATGCTGCTCCCTGATAAAATGAACATGTTTATGCTGCTACCTGTTCAGATTTACAACAAATGGGAATGTTGCTGTTAAACCTTTATTTGTTTCAAGGTTGCACAAATAAACGTAAACCTACAAATATGCTACTTTTTAATTAATTGCACATAACAGATATTCATGCAATTATCACTTTGAATCATTGGCTAGCAGTGGTAAAACTATGATTACAGTTGTAACACACACATTAGTAATTCCAATAAACCTCCTTCATCGTCATCATTTCTGGACGATTGATTGAAACCATTGTCGATTTGACGGTGAAGAATCAGAGCCACAGAGCTTCTCCTCGCCGTTGTTTCGTGGCTGCTGTCTCTGGGGAGCCGTACGAGGTCTCAGCTGTGAATGTGGGCCGCGGTCCACACACGCTTTCATGCTGGGCTGCGTGAAGTGCACATCTGCACACGTGGACGGTTCATGCTGCGGCTCCACCGCGGTCATCCTAACCATCTGTCTCCGTACTCTCAGGTCCTCGGCTGCCAGCAGAACCATCTCGCCAGTCGGGAGAGGTGAGGGACGAGGCCGGCCAATCGGAGGGGGAGAGATGTTGGGGCAGGGGGGCCACGGGGTCCTGGCTCTCATGTCATTAGTTCTGACACTGTGGCACCAAGCGGCACCCATAGAAGTCCCACAAGACCGTAAGTCCCTAAGCAGTTCATAGGACCATGAAGCATCCAACTATGAGCCTTCACAAAGGCACTTTGTCTGCAATGACCTACTGCAGCACTTTCAACCAAAAACAATGACAGTACTGATCATTCCACTGCGTGTCGGATCCTGCAAAGCCTTATTAGCTCACATTTAGAAACCTTTCAAATCGCAAACTGCTGACAAAATGTAGAACAGACTGATGGAGCTAAAGAGTTATTTGCCTCGTCAAAGTTGGTGCTTCGAGCCCTTTAGTGAAAGGCTGAACATCTTAAAACGTATTAAGTAGATGAGGGAGACGAGGGAGACAAGGGAGACGAGGTAGATGAGGTAGATGAGGGAGACGAGGGAGACAAGAGAGACAATGGAGACGAGGTAGATGAGGTAGACGAGGTAGATGAGGGAGATGAGGAAGAGAGACATGGGGAGATGAGGTAGATGAGGTAGACGAGGTAGATGAGGGAGACGAGGTAGATGAGGTAGACGAGGTAGATGAGGGAGATGAGGAAGAGAGAGATGAGGGAGACGAGGAAGAGAGAGATGGGGGAGATGAAGGAGACGAGGAAGAGAGAGTTGGGGGAGATGAAGGAGACGAGGAATAGAGAGTTGGGGGAGATGATGAAGAGGGAGATGGGGGAGATGAGGGGGACGAGGAAGAGAGAGTTGGGGGAGATGAAGGAGACAAGGGAGACTGGGGAGATGATGAAGAGGGAGATGAGGGAGACGAGGAAGAGAGAGATGGGGGAGATGAAGGAGACGAGGAATAGAGAGTTGGGGGAGATGAGGGAGACAAGGGGGACCGGGGAGATGATGAAGAGGGAGATGAGGGAGACGAGGAAGAGAGAGATTGGGAGATGAAGGAGACGAGGAAGCGAGAGATAGGGGAGATGAAGGAGACGAGGAAGAGAGAGTTGGGGGAGATGAGGGGGACGAGGAAGAGAGAGATGGGGGAGATGAGGGAGACGAGGAAGAGAGAGTTGGGGGAGATGAGGGAGACGAGGAAGAGAGAGTTGGGGGAGATGAGGGGGACGAGGAAGAGAGAGATGGGGGAGATGAGGCAGAGATGCCTCCGAGCTGGATTAATCGGGGGAACAACGCCTCCTCCCTTGCAGCCCCTCCCCCTCTTTTCCTTACGTCTCCTTATCGGCGACCTTTATCGATGAGAGGCTTCCACACGTCAATACACGTTAACACACTCACGCTCACTTAAACGTGATAATATCTAAAGGGATCATTTTCGCGATTTAAGTTCAATAAAAGCCTCTACGGACTTCTACTGCAAGTAGACAGATCCCATCCATCACTATCAACTGGTGTCAAACCATAGTGACCAGCAGCATGGATGTGAGCATGCATTTCCATCAGGCTCCTCTGATGGGGGGCGCTTCATCTGTGTGTGTGTGTGTGTGTGTGTGTGTCAGCGGAGGAATTCTATTGTAACCTTTCCAGGAAACGATTCCCGTGGTTGAAAACGTGAGCTACTTTAAAGGAATACTCGGCTGCTTTTATCAAAACGTCTGCGTCTGCAAATCTTTTTGAATCAGTAAAAACTACGTGCAGCGAACAAGACTTGTGAACACAGCAGCTTCAAACGCAGTTGTGCTTCCATTGTGTTACCAACCAGTTCTTTGCAAGGAAAATACACAGTTATGACAATGCAATCTAACCATCTAATTGATAACTTGTGTGTCTTTCTAACTTCCTGCCGCTCTCCCTTCGCTTGCACGGGGACGCCTGACAGGTGAGTCCCTGTTTCTGTGTCTCTGAGTTGTCTCTCTAATGATTGTATAGCATTAACTCTACACATCATAACCCTGGTTCTCAACTGGTCCGGCTTCTGATGAATGTGTTGTAACATAATAATATACATGTAAATATGTCTCTAATATGATTAACAATCACATCGCTATTCATCCCTGCTTCTCCCCGTCTCTCTTTGGCTTTCAATTGGACTAACAGCAAAGATCCTGCAAGACCGTAAGTATCTATTTTTAACATTGTAGCACTTTAACGACACTCGTAGAAGAGAAACGGAGTCGACTGGACAACAGTTTTCGGTCATTTGATTAATACAAAAATTATTCATAATTGAATTGTTGTGTTACTTTAATTCAATTACATTCATTTTATTTTGTTCAGCCCAATATCACAAATGGGCCTCACATTACCACAGAAAAAACTCCACGAAAAGATTAAAAACCCTTCGATGAAATAAGGAAGAAACCTGGTTTTCCTGTTAAGTTACACGTCAGAGTTGCTATAAAGTGACAGGCAGCCATTTAAAAATAAATATCAAATCCCCAACAGTTGTTAATCAAAGAGAAAGGATGATGTTTGGAATAGTTGATTAACGTCCATGTGGTTAAAATGAACTTATTGAAAGAGGCTTTGGGTAAACGCGTCAGCTAAATGACATGTGATGTAACGTAATGTGAAACACACTATTATACAGAGCAGGACAGCAATCAGAAGGCAGGCAGATTAAGCAATAATGTGAGATGCCGTATGGGCTGTTATGCTGAGGGAGTCATTTCCATACTAATGATCTCCTATAGCAAAGCTTTGTCAAAACCAAGCATACTAAGAACATATTCTCACGGTTGCCATAGCAGCGTGAGGAATATAGTCCCGTTTCCGTTACGGGTGAGATTAGTTGGCTTCAATTACAGATCTCTGTCACTTGTGCATCAGCCAAATGCACCTTAAGAGCATCAAGCCCCTCCTCCATTCCAGTGTGTGTACAGTGTGTGTGTGTGTGTGTGTGTGTAATGTTGAGGGCTTTGATGAGGCATTAAATATATACTGTATCATAGACTGAACTCAGCCGGGGAGATGGAAACTATCATGTTTGTTACTGAAAGGAGGTTCTGATTGTTTCGCTCAATTTGTTAAAGTAACTTCTTGCCGGGAAGTTACTGAACCCTCTTTTTTAATATTATATATATATATATATATACATGTATGTGTCTGTGCTAATACGAAATAACCCACCTTGTCCAAAGTCCACATAGCGCCGTGTGTGTGGACGCAACATCTGTGCACAGCCGTATTATCTGTGTAACCTTCTCTCTGTCTGTCCCGTCCCCCCACAGTGAAGCAGCCCCCCACCATAGTCAAAGAGTCTGTGAAGGACTACATTGTCGACCCCAGAGATAACATCATCATTGAGTGTGAGGCCAAGGGCAACCCAGTGCCAACGTAAGCAGCACACACACACACACACACACACACACACACAAGCCCTCGGGTCATTGTTTGGAACAGATCTGTTGTGGACGAGGTGACGTTTTATTTGACAGTAACAAGGGCAGAATAGAGAAGTGTAGTGTTGAAATATTCCACAACAAAGTGTAGGACAGGAAGTCTGTAAAGGTTGCAGGCGCTTCAGTAAACAGTGAGATGGACATGATGCACCAATCACACCCAGCGTGAGAGGAACCAGGCAAAAAGCTGCTCAGCTGAGTACAGAGCGCTGTCCATCATTCCTGTCCACCACTCCTGTCCATCATTCCTGTCCACCATTCCTGTCCATCATTCCTGTCCATCATTCCTGTCCATCATTCCCGTCCATCATTCCTGTCCATCATTCCTGTCCACCACTCCTGTCCATCATTCCTGTCCACCATTCCTGTCCATCATTCCTGTCCATCATTCCTGTCCATCATTCCCGTCCATCATTCCTGTCCATCATTCCTGTCCACCATTCCTGTCCATCATTCCTGTCCATCATTCCTGTCCATCATTCCCGTCCATCATTCCTGTCCATCATTCCTGTCCATCATTCCTGTCCATCATTCCCGTCCATCATTCCTGTCCACCATTCCTGTCCACCATTGCTGTCCACCATTCCTGCCCACCATTCCTGTCCATCATTGCTGTCCACCATTGCTGTCCACCATTCCTGCCCACCATTCCTGTCCATCATTCCTGTCCACCATTCCTGTCCATCATTCCTGTCCATCATTCCTGTCCATCATTCCCGTCCATCATTCCTGTCCATCATTCCTGTCCATCATTCCCGTCCATCATTCCTGTCCACCATTCCTGTCCACCATTGCTGTCCACCATTCCTGTCCACCATTCCTGTCCACCATTCCTGTCCATCATTGCTGTCCACCATTCCTGTCCACCATTTCTGTCCACCATTCCTGTCCATCATTCCTGTCCATCATTCCTGTCCACCATTCCTGTCCATCCTTCCTGTCCATCCTTCCTGTCCACGATTCCTGTCCACGATTCCTGTCCAAATATCCTTCACTGGACTTCACAATGTCCTTCACGGAGTTCTGTGTTTTCGTCCTACAAAATTTATTTCGCAGTGTGTTTTAAGTTCTAACTTCTTAGTTTGGTCCCTTTATGTTCTGGATTTAAAGGTGATGAGGGACTCAGCAGACTGCTTTGTTTCATGTATGTGGAGCAGAAAAACTGAACGCTGCTTCTCCGTGTTCAGGTTGAGTCTGTGAATATGAAGTAGACGAGTCGCAGACGACCTGAGGGTTTGTGGCAGTTCACAAGGAATCAGAAATGTACTTTGGCCCTAAACCATTCAGTGCTTCATAAACCAAGCAGCAGTGCATTTAAATACTGCTTGACCAGATGTTAAAATGTAGTCTCAGGCGGTTCGATTCGATGGTTTATTTTTGTTCCCTTCACACACACCTGGTATCCAAGTACTTACAAATGTGCTGTTATGGATGTTCCTTCCTCCAAAGCCCACTAGGAACTACGGCTAATAGGAGATCGATGAAGAGCTCAATGAGTCTTCATCTCTCTCGCTGTCTCCTCTTTGTCACTCACACATTTCTCCCTCAGTGTTTTCTGCTTCTGTCAAAAACATGCTCTGATGTACATTCAAATCACGCACACACACACACACACACACACACACACACACACACACACACACACACACACACACACACACACACTGGGTTACATCAGTGGGGGGCTGACCAGCTCAGGACAGTGGTACATTGTTCATTTGGAGACGGATTGGCTTTACATAAGACACACAGACATTCACGCTCATGCAGATTCCTGTGTACACACACACACACACACACACACACACAGACTTACACAAGCTTACAATGAGGCACTCTCTCTCTCCCGTATACACACACTGGCTCGCCCCTTCCCCCGGACAGGCTTTGTGCTCCAATAATGCACTGTGTTGACTTGTCATGCAAATGATACATTCAGCGTAAGCGATCGTTCACTTATTCACGCAGTCAGTCCCTCACTACGCAACACATGCCCCCACGCACGCACAAACACACACACACACACACACACACACACACACACACACACACACACACACAGCTTCCAGAGCTTCGTTCGGGCCCATTGTTTAGGCTCAGTGCGGCACCTCAAACCCGACTCGACTGGTGGCTAAAAGTCGCTCATCGCTAAAAACCGAGCATGTCGAAGTGTTCCGCACCAATCAGGAGTGTGCGCGGGGGTCGATATTTGTGCTGCTATCACACAACCCTGAGTAACATGAGATGGCAAACCTCCCCGCAAGCGAAGAACTTTTAACGGTTGTTGGAATTATTAGTCCATGTTAAGCTGGTGGTAACACAGCGGATGCACCTCATGGCTCGATTGGTTTTTCTGTGTTTCCCTTAATTGTCTCCTCCTACATGTGGGCCGGCGCTTTAAAACAATGAATAGATTAAACAATACACACCGTGTTTACTCCACCAGTCATCTTCACATATTTTTATGCACCACTACACTTTACACAACTTTTCGCTTAATCAACATTTTTGCCAAATATGCCAAATATTGAAACTTGGGGTGGCGTTACGCTTAAAAACCGACATGCTAAGGTCACTGCCAAAGGTTTACCACGTATATTGTGTAACAAGTACATTATAACACGGTAAAACTGGTACAGTCTTCAGGGTGACCGTCCTGCTTGTTTGTTGCATCGAGCGCCAAGCTATGGTGGCTGATTGGTGGACTAGAGTGGACAGTTTCTACTGGTTGAGCTTTGACTGGTGTAAAACGTGTTTGAACGTCCAGCGACTGCAATGGGCTGTAAGAAGACAGATGAAAAGGTTTGGAAAGTTGGCGGCCCCCACAAAGACTGTGTCAAAGCAACCACCAAGAGGACACCAGTGGAATGAACAACAAAGTCTCTGATCCGCGTTTTTCTTGCTCAGGTTCTCATGGCGAAGGAACGGGAAGTTTTTCAACATCGGGAAAGATCCCAGGGTGACAATGCGGAAACGCTCGGGAACTCTAGAGATCGGTTTCCGTAGCGGAGGACGACCGGAGGACTACGAGGGGGAATACCAGTGTTTTGCAACCAATGACCTCGGAGTGGCTCTGTCCAACAAAATCCTGCTGCGTGTCTCCAGTAAGAATCCACAAGAACCCACACACACCTCATTGTACAATGTTTGCACATGATGCACACATGAACATGTCATAGGCTACTTGCTTAGAGTACAATAGAATCATGAGTGAAGAACAGCAACAGTTCTGGGGAGGCTTTGCACACTCAGTCGGATGGACAACATTTTATACCATTAATCCTCTCTCATCCCGTGTTCTTCTCTGTCTCTTTTTCTCCCCCATCCCTCCCTCCAGAGGCCCCTCTCTGGCCCAAAGAAGTGCTGGAGCCAGTCGTGGTGCCTGAAGGCCACTCGCTGGTTCTGAACTGCAGCCCACCACCAGGCCTTCCTCCTCCATTCACCTTCTGGATGAACAGCGGTGAGCGACAACATCGGTCCTATCGAATGCACATTAGAAAACACTCAAGTAATACTGATAAAAAATTGAAATGCGTATTTGAAATATGAGTAATAGAAATACGGCCCACCTCTGAGCGTGTCAGTGACGCTCTAACAGGCCAGCGCTTGATGAGCACGGCTGGCCTGGCTGCCGATCGGTCCTGGGGCGTTGTCTCGGCGACCATACGGCTCGCGTCAGCTGGAGCATTTAGGGTGTAGATGACGATCCGTCTGGACGTCTGTGTTTGCGGCCAGCGCGTTAACGTGCGGCCTTCAGCAACTGTAGGGTGAAGCTTCAGCGAAGAACAGACTCTGAACCGCACGAGAAAATATTGAACAATCTAGAGGCCGGTGGTTGGACTCTTTTGCAGGGACAGGAAATAGATGGTTACCTTTGATTACTTGACAAATACCTCTTGTGGATAAAGGTCTGCACGAAGAACTATTTGGTATAAGTAGACGGACCCGAACCGGAGCAGTAATGGGAGAGATATCACATTTTGTTGTCCATCGCGTGGATCGATTTATTGATTCGCTGCCCCCCTGGGAAACGTCTGTCTTCCAGCTATGACTCCGATCCCTCAGGATAAGAGGGTGTCCATGGGTCTGAACGGGGACCTCTACTTCTCCAACGTCTTGACCAAAGATGCTCACACTGACTACAGCTGCAACGCTCGCTTCCTCTTCACGCAGACCATCCAGCAGAAGAACCCCTTCACCCTCAAAGTCCTGACGAGTGAGTAGACAAAACACGCACACGCACACTTTACAGATCCCCGACTGACTTTGAGTTAATGACGTCCAGTAAGTCCCTTGAGTTTTTGGAACATTGTTCTTCAGAAGTGAGTGTGTGTCATCAGGTTCGGTGAGTGCGTCCTGTGTGTGGACTGTTGAGCCACTGTGTGTGTGTGTGTGTGTGTGTGTTTTCAGAGGAGCCGTATAATGACACGTCTTACAATGCTACTGACCCGTACGGTGGTGAGTCATTACCTGTCCGCCTCCTCAGTCGAGTCCCGCTGTCACATGGCTAGCGCACTAACATGCTAGCTCAGCGCAGCTAAAGTCGTTGATGACCTAGGCCTGACCTTTAACCTCCTAACCTCTCAACAGGTAGAATTCACTGTGTGGCTTCACGGGGAGAATTGAGTGTTGGTCGGTGTGTTTTCTTTAAGGTATAACTGATTCTTTTGCTAATGAATTCAACCCAATTTAGGATCGAACCAACTGTTGCCTTTATTACATCTAACAAAGACCACATGACGTAGGCAAGACATACTTATGAGACTTGTGAGCAACATTATTGGGTCCGTCATCGAACAACTCAACACCAACCTGACGTCCAATGAAACTTTACCAAGTGACTTCCAATAAAAAAACTCTCTCTTTGACCCTCATACGCACTCACACAGGCGAAATAAGTCTTTAGGTGTTAAACGATCACATGAAATGAATAAACAGATGACACGTGTATTGCACGTACAGTGTATTCATTATGCCATACGTGCATTGAATGAGCCCATAGCTGGAGGGAAGGGATCAGCCGGAGTGGGAACATATGTGTTAGTTACTGGCTGAACGGTGGGGGGGGGGGGGGATATGTCCCTGAGGGGAAGATGCTCCAAGTGATAGACCGGTCCCCCCAGCTCCGAGGCCCCAGTGGGGACGAAGACCCCGACGAAGCGCAGAGAGGGATTAGGTCACACAATGAATATTCAGTCTGGATTGATGATCATTAACAGTCACAGATGTATGAAGTAAATCTGCCCTCAGACACATTTCTGAGTGATGCGACTGTAACAGCTGTCACAACACTCGACAGTACTCGACAGTAGACGACACTATTCCATCACTAATCTCACACAGAAGTAAAAACATAAATCGTTTTTCTGTGAGTGGGTTTGAGTCTGAAGCTCCAGTGCATCTTGGGTGTTAGAAGTGATCCACGTCTCCAGGTATCTCGCTGCGTTCCCGCAGTTCTCGCTGTAGCGAACGTGCACATCATCACCTCGACTAACCGCCGCTTGTGTGTTTGCTCCTCTCATTATTGTTCTTCTCATGCAAGTGTCCTAACAATAGCAGATCCTCCTTTGCCAGCTCCTAGAGAAGCTAACCGCTAACAGATGCTTTCATCCCACACAGATTAGCATCATAAAGGAGGCTAATTTAATCCCACACACCTCCCAGCATGCTGCAGTTCTCTGCTGGCTGGATTATATTATTATTATTATGTCCTCGCCGTTGGCAGCATTTGTGTTCGGACTAGAAATGTGATCTCTAGGACAGAGTCAGACAAATCAGTCTGTGTAATAAGATTATATATATATATATATATATATATATATATGTATATATTGTGGTGCATAGTTTCAAATAATTACCAGTGAATCAGCATAACCAATGTTGCATACAGTGGATTTAAAGCTAACCAGAATGTCCTCCTCACAGATGAATCCAAACACGTCTAACTCCTGTACTGATTTAATATCACGGTTTCATTACTTCGATTTCATTATCACCAGTCAGACTATGATATACCTTAGTTAGTATTATTGTTGAGGTCTGAGACAGATTTGCATCATTGCCTCACCTTCAGTCCCTGCACTCAGTGTGCAGAATGTTAAAGGCCTTGACACCCAAACGCCAAATCCAGACAACACTGAGGTTCTGTTCTAAAGGCTCTGGTGACAACGACGACTTCTATGTGCTTCGGCTTCACGTTGAAGCGCTCTCGTCCCTCCCCAGAAGAACGTTTTATCAGCTGCTTTATTTAAGCCGTCAATGCCAATCTTTACCATCTCTGTTCTCTTGGCAACTGCAAAGCTGCAGATCAATGAGTCACTTGTTGTTTCTCTTAATGTCTTCCTGGGAGAGAAGCCAGGGGGCATTAAACGCATTTACAGGCTGCCTCACAACAAACGCAGCGAGGAACGAGGCCTGGCAGGGACGCAAGGAAACGATCCCACTAAGACTTTTAGATTCACGTAGCAGTGCCGGCAAACAGGATGTTCAGCTCCTGGTACAAAGATTAAACTTAGTGCTTCTGGTGTTTGTTTGTTTGTTTGTTTGTGCTTTTGTTAACACCCCCCCCCCCCCCGCTCCTCGGCTCCTCGTCCACAGGGCGCCAAGTAGCCGAGGTCCCGCCGACCTTTCTCCTCCCCCTTAGGGACCCAGAGCTCCCAGAAGGTGCTACGGGAAGAAGCAAATTTTTGCTGGAAAGCATCGCTGCCGGACTGTGAGGTTTCACACACACGCACACACACACACACACACACACACACACAGACGCACACACTGACCTGGACCCTGCTGCTTGGAACACTATTTCTTGGAATAAGCGGATCCTCCCCTCTGTGTCTCTAACAGGCGAACGCCTCTATCAAGTGGGTTAAGGAGGGTGGGGACCTTCCAGGGAGGAAGGTGAAGTTTGACAACTACAACAAGACCCTAAAGATCATCAACGTGTCCGAGGAGGACGCCGGGGAGTACGTATGCATGGCCAACAACCACCTAGGCAGCATACGCCACTCCATCTTTGTCCAGGTCAAAGGTGAGGAGGTCACACCCGCTACGCGTCTCCACTGTTGGATGTTTGCGTCCCTCGTGCTCATCTGACTCGCTGCGCTCCACAGCGGCTCCTTACTGGCTCGACAAACCCTCCAACGCGGTGCTCGCTCCGGAGGAAAACGGGCGCCTGGTGTGTCGGGCCAACGGGAACCCCAAACCCAACATCCAGTGGCTGATCAACGGACAGCCTATAGAAAGTACTTGTTCCTTTTCCTTGATTTATTTCCATACTTCATTCGGCTTTCTTTCTATTTTGTATTGAAGTTACATTATTATGTAACATTGTTATCTTTGGGCCACCACATTTAATTATAAAATATAGATAAATTGAAGGCTAGAAAAGTGTAACAAAGATTTCTTGTTAAAAAGCTCTGACAGATGACACATATTTGACAATATGGTGTGATGATAGTCTTTGAATGTGTTTATGTTAGAATAGGGACTTGATCACATTCCGTGGATTACATTTTGTCCTATAACGTCCAATCAGGTTGACTGTTCTACACGTGGTCCCCATCTAATCTTATTTACTGTCTGTGGCAGACAAGTATTGTCTTCACTGGACATCTGCGTCAAATGGATGTTACACCTGTGGTTATTGTTGTGTGTTTCTCAGGCACTCCCCACAGCACCAGCAGACAGATGCTTGGTGACACCATCATCTTCCGCTCGGTGCAGATGGGAAGCAGCGCTGTCTACCAGTGCAACGCCTCCAACCAGCACGGCTACCTGCTGGCCAACGCCTTCGTCAGCGTCCTCGGTGAGACGTCATGTGTACAAAGCAGCGGTTGTGTCACCTGTGTGTCTGTAGGCCTCGCCGCTGGCCTCGCTCCACACCAGCAGGTGGAGTATGTGTGGAGACATGAATGCCAGGACAAATATTTCCACCACCAATGAACCCCTGCGTGTTTTTCCTCAATGATTATTGGGAGCAAAAGTCTAAATTCAATGCTAGAATAGTGTTGGATCTGACATTTTGAATTTTGAAATGTATTCTATTACACAGGGAATATTCTAACTTGTTTCAGACAGGTGGGACGCCTGAATTCCACATAGCTGCTTTAGTGCGCTCACGAGCAAAATGATAAAAACTCCTGGCAATTAACGCAGTGGTGGAGGCTTCATCCTCCGTCTCCTCTCTGTGCAGACATGCCTCCGAGGATGCTGGGCCCCAAAAACCAGCTGATCAAAGTCGTCGAGAACAACCGCACCTTCCTTGACTGTCCCTTCTTCGGTTCTCCTCTGCCGGAACTCCGCTGGTGAGCATGAAAACCTCCAAAGCTGCATCTTCCCCTGCGAAGCCACATCCTTGCGTTAGTACAAAGACGGACGCGGCTTCACTGTGCCGTTGACGTTCCCCCGTGCCGCCGTGCGTGCAGGTTTAAGAACGGACAGGGCAGCGGGCTGGACGGAGGTCACTACCGCATTTATATTAATGGCACCCTGGAGATCAAGCGGGCCAGAGCGGAGGACGAGGGCACCTACACCTGTGTGGCCAACAGCATGCTGGGCAAGGCCGAGAACCAGGTCCGCCTGGAGATCAAAGGTCAGTCACTACGTCTCCATAACAGAGCTGAAACTGCGCTGTGACAAGCCAGACCTCACACGCGGCTCTCACTGCTTCTCCCGCTCAGAGCCGACTCGCATCGTTCGCGTCCCGGAGCGCCAGTCGGTCGTCAGGGGCTCCGCGGCGCGCTTCGAGTGTAAGGTGAAGTCTGACCCCAGCCTGCCCGTCACTGTGGCCTGGACCAAGGACGACAAACCTCTGTCCCTGGGTTGGAGGTAAACAAAACACACTGACGCTCCGATCACGCACCTGCAGAGCGGAATACTGGATAATATTCACATTCACGCTCAATGCATGAAATGAAAATGACAGCTCAGTTGTGTGGGGATGTAAATGTGTAGGCGACAGGATACAGTGACGCACACTATTCTACTTCTTCTATTGATCTCAAACGTGTCACACGTTAAGAAATGTCCGTTGTTTTACAATGGAACTCAAGTAAAGAACTGAAAGGTTGAGTCCTTCTCTCTGTTTGTCTCGCAGGCTGAGCAAAGACGAGGAGTCGTTGACCGTCCCCAACGTGAACGAGGGGGATGAGGGAACCTACACCTGCTCGGTTACATCTGAGATAGACCAGGACTCGGCCTCCGCCCGCCTCACGGTCTTAGGTACACGCGCACACACGGCGGTCCGGGAGCCAGCGGCTTGTTCAGGTTGACGTTTTCCGAAAGATAAGATGTTCTTTGCGCCCAAAGAAACCATAATACTGAAGTCCAGATAATACATGATATAGTATCCGTTTCTGGAAAGTACCTGCAGCTGCACAACTCAGTCGCAATGAAAAATGTTGTTAATAAGTTAAACAAAACTACATGTTTAAGGTTGGAATAAATCTTAGGGTCGGTTTTGGAAGTCAGCGGTTACAGTCCAGCGTTACGCTGAGGCAGCTGGCGCTCTTCTCCACGTGCGGCTCTTCGGATCCAAGGATCATAGACTCATAGAGGATTAGAAAGAGGGGTTGACCTCCCCGAATCATCTCACCACAGCCTGAGGATTTCACCACAGATGCCGTCCACACACTGAGCTACGGCTCACGTGTGTTTTTAGCCGGGTATCTTCATGTTACATAGAGATGGAGGGAAGTGATTTCTTTTCAGGCGAAATTTAAAAAAATACAACATATGTACACTTATGTTTCACATTAGAACACAGGCACAGCCGTTCCCCTTCATTCGGACAGCAGAGAACAAAGTATTTTACAGAAATATTGTCCTTTTTTATGATGCGTAGAGGCCAATAAGGGACAGTAAGCCAGAGTAATGTGATCCACTTGCTTGTCCTTAGTCAGGACTCAAGTTCTCACTGACTTTTCGCGGAATCACATCAGCGATTGAAGCTGAGCGCTGACTTTTCTTTGACCTTAAACACAATTCAATCAGGAGAGACTCCTTGAATTTAACAACGATTTAATAGCTATAAATATGAATAGTGCAAAGCCTTTGGGGCTCGCAGCCGATGGCCGGGACGCACATATCGGATGAGGCACGTCCCCCCTGGTGGTGGTGGAGAATAGTTCATTATGACAGCATACTTTGTTTGCACACACACACACACACACACACACACACGCACACGCGCACACTCTACTACGCTTTTACTTTTGCTTTGTATTAATGCTTTTTATATTTTCTTTAGAGATATTCTCTGTAAATGTCTTCTCTTGACACTGTGCTATTTTTCAGCTCTTTGTCTTCAAAGGGAAATCATGCATGTTTTATTGTTTACTAAAATGTGAACCTTTAACTAGCTTTAACTTTAACCAACCAAGCTTTACCTTAACCCACTAATTCAGCAGTATGCATGCAGCATATGGAGACGCTAGTGGGGTGTAGGAAATGCTGTAGTGCAGCTATAGTGATGACAGCATGAACATATTATTATTTTAATATGTGAGACTTTTCATATCTATTTTTGGATCAAGTATTTACAAATGAGAAATGTGTCCAAAAAGACTTTTTGTTTAACGACCTCCTGGTTCCCAGAGGATGGTCGATTAGTGTTTTTGATGGAAGAAGCCATCAAATTCATCAAAAAGTTTCACATGTAAATATGGTCCGTTTGGGCCATTGATGGTAGAAACAAGGACATAAGAAAAGATTCCCTAACATCAGCCTCATAGGACGTCATACAGACTGGACTTACATTAACACAGTGTGTACTAGATGACCTGTTAGCCATTGTGCTGCCTTGTAGTAGACCGGCTGGTAGACTAACCTGCGTACTCTAACCTTTATACCCACTTCCTGGTCCTCGACCCGCCCCACAGAGGAAGCCTCCCTCAACCCCTCAGTCTCTAGTGCCTTGCCTCCAGGTAACACACGGCTTGGGTGGGGTTCTGTCTTTTTCCTTCTTGTGTCTACCTCATCTTCTTATTGTCCTCCGCCTCCAGCTAAATGTGTGCTTCTGCTGCCCGTGTGTGTGTCTGAGAGGTTGTTTTAACATGCACGCTCCATAAAACATCCCGTCAAGTCAGTTAATCTCATAGTGAGACGAGCAACGTTCTCTCCAGTTTGGAACCAAATTTGCACTCATGTCATTTTTTGTGGATCTCATTAGTAGAGTATGTTGTCCCATTTGTCCTCATTTCGATGTTTTTACCATTTCTTGAAACCTCCTGACACTGCAGCGCTATTGGTATACGTGTATTGATCTCATTAAAGTGTATCTTAAATTGTAATTTACCGACTAAAGACCGGGATGGATGGCATTGGACAGTTTGAGTGTTGCTGCACGTCTTTGGTTGTGTGTAAATGTGTTTGTTTGTATGTCTAAGGTCGGGTTGTTAATTTCTCTCTGCAGACCACCCTGACCCTCCCATGGATCTGGACCTGTCAGATCCTGCAGCCCGCAGCGTTCGCCTCACCTGGATCCCCGGAAACGACCACCGGAGCCCTGTGACGCGTCAGTATACGCACACACACTTCTCATCTTCCTGCACATCCCGAGAGAATCAACACACCTGCGTCCTCACATGTCTGCGTCCTAAATGTGTCATACATACATTGACATTTGATTCGTGTATGTGGAAGAACTCCAGTGCATCCTGTAGGGAGATTACGTGGATAAAGGAGGAATAAAAGGTGGTGATGGATAAATAATAATAAACGTTTGTACCTGTTGGCGTAGTCCATGACCACATGACCCGCCTGTGATCTCCGCTGCATCATCAATAAGTGGTTTTGTCATCCCTGCAGAATTCCTGGTCCAGTTTGAGGAGGACCGTTGGGAGCCGGGCAGGTGGCAGGACCTGTCCACATACCCAGGGGACCTCAACTCTGTCATCCTGCAGCTCGCCCCCTTCGTCAACTACCAGTTCAGGGTCATCGCCATCAACGCGGTGGGCCGCAGTCAGCCCAGCCGCCCCTCGCCCCGGTACCAGACCAGCGGAGCCGGTGAGTTAGTGTACCGTCACATAACAATACTTCAGGTACTAAATGACGGACATCTGGTCCCAGCAACCTACCGACATCTTGCAGAAAGAAAGTATCAATGCTGAGTAAATTTTGTTTTGTTACATCCAGCCCCAGATGTCATCCCCAGAGGTCTACGAGGATGGGGATCAAAGAAGGACAATATGGAGATAACCTGGGAGGTAATGCACCCAAATGCACAACTCCTGAGACGAGGGGCAAGTTGCCTGAAAGAACTATTTTATTAGTGAGAAGAACAGCAGTTTGGGTCGATCGGTTGGGTGTTATGTTCTTTACGAGTAAAAACCCAAACTCCACCTCGCTCTCGGTAAGTGCGCATGTCAGCGTCCTGTCTTGTTTTGTCCAGCCTCTGCTCGATCTGGAGAGGAACGGGCCAAACCTGCACTACGGCGTGTGGTGGCGACGGAAGGATTTGGGAGAGGAGTGGAGTAACGTGACCACAGCCGAATCCAAACATGTCGTCCACAACACAGAGACCTACATTTCCTACGAGATCAAAGTTCAGGCCAGAAACGAGTTTGGACGAGGACCAGAGTCCAATGTTGTAGTTGGATACTCCGGAGAGGACAGTGAGTCGACACATATCATATTTGTTTGGGAAAATACCAAAGCCAACCTCCCAAAATCAGTAGTCACTGACAACTCCTCCGACTGCTCACGCACTTTGTCCCTTTTTGTATGTTCAGAACCCGTCTATGCTCCCACTGACCTGCGGGTGTCGAAGTTTGACAGCACCAAGGCCGTCCTGCACTGGAAGCCCGTGGACCTGAGCTCTGTGCAGGGAGAATTCAAGGAGTACCGAGTGAGACGGCCCGTGTTTGTCTAATGATAATGGAGTTCCTGCACAGCTAGTCTGAGAATAGATCCTCAGTTTTCGGACTATTTCTCTGGTTGAATTAACCTCCTTGCCTTCTTCTGCGCTGCTGACCCATTGCTCACGCTTCTACCTTTCAGCTGTACTTCTGGCGTGAGTCCAGTCTGGTTCCTGGTCTAGTGGTCAGTAAGGAGAAGAAGACTAAAGGTTTCTACAGCATCGCGGCCGAACCGTCTGGCATCCTCAGCGACTTGGTGCCCTACTCCAGATACAAGATGTTCCTGGTTGTGGCCAACAACCTCTTTGAAGGTCCACCCAGCAACACCGTGGAGGTCATCACCAAGGAGGGAGGTGAGGACACGGACCCTGCAAACTCCTGGTCCCATGAAATATTTCAACTATTATTTATCTGTGGTCGACACTATATTTGACCATAGATGACCATGGATGTAGTTCAGAAAACCTCCATGGAACCTGTTTGTCAGCTCTGGTGTCTCTAAGCCTGTTTTGTGTGTCTGCAGTGCCCGATGCTCCGAAGTTTTTCACTATCAACCGGAGAACTTTTGACACCATCCACCTTGAATGGGACAAACCTCTGGAGCCCAACGGTATTCTGATTGGATACCAGCTCAAGTACCAAATAGGTGAGCAGCTCCGATCTTCTCAAACCCAAAGTATCTACACAAAGTACCGACTATTACCAGAAGCATTTTTAAACTCTGTGCTCCCACTTGCCGGTGATCGGCTTAATTACTCACAAGACTGCTATGCATTTGTTTGTGGGACTTGCTTTGCTTTAATACTCACATGTGAGTAAATTAGATTTGTGACGATTCTCTCGTCCAGCGTCAGCTGAATTGACCCCGTGATCCTCTAAGCGATATATAAAATGGAGACAAATCGAGACAATCAGAAAGCTTTCAACCAAACAAGTTTAACATTGTTGACATGAAGATGAAAAAACTTAAAATGTCCGCAGTAATCTGCCACTGCAAGTCTGAGGCGACAATGTTTCTATTCATTGCAACACAGTACACAAAAATTAAATGAACTAATGAATCATTCTCATTGTTATTATTGGGGATTATAATAGGAAGCTAACCCGTCCGCCTCACTCCTCTGTGAATGTGTGTGTGTGTGTGTGTGTGTGTGTGCGTGTGTGTGTGTGTGTGCGCGCAGTCAACGGCAGCAGAGTTGGTCGTGCACAGCTGGAGACTCTCCCGCCCAACGTCACACACTTCAGCGTACGACTTCCGGAGCGATCTACTCGCTACAAGTTCTACCTGTCAGCACTCACACAGGTGGGAGCCGGCGAGGTCTACGCTGAGGAGTCCCCCTCGTCCGCCAACGAAGGTGAGTCTTTCTGCGTGGGACAAAAAGATCTCGCATTCAGCGTCTCCCAAAGAAATGTGTTTTTCACTGTTTTTCTGAGTGAGGGGGGACGAGGCATCAGAATCCCCAAATGTCACCTCACCTCATTTAGTTGATCGGTATCTTTGCTTTCTGACACATTTCACTCATCAAGCTAAAATTGGCCTTGAGGTAGAAAATAGATTCAGATATTTCCAAGTTGAGCAGAATTGTTTGTGACCCCAGTTTACCACAATAGTGGCTACTAATTCTGAACCTCCGCTTTGCTGCATTGGCGCTTCCACTGTATGGTGAGATTGTTTCCATCACTCGTTGGTTCCGTGGTGCATATTGAGAATCCCTCCGTGTGAGAGAGAAGGTGACGTAGGAGTCTAAAGTGGATTAGTTTGTTGCCCTTCAGTGAACACAGGCCTCTTTGTTATCACATGCAGAGAGAACTGCTCTTCCTTTGAAAGATGACATCATCGATGTGACTCACATACGCACACAAACAGTGACACGCAACTGGATCAGTTTACGAACCTCTTGTTTTTCCAGTATTTCAGTGACTTGACAGGTGTTTTTACATATGGCAGAGTTATAGAAAACCCTCAGATAACCATGTTTGACTAGCTCATTTACAGCTTGTCTGAAATTCTAAAAGCTTTCATTTGGTCAATGTTGGAGATATTGGTGTAAGGGTGGAACTCGGAACAGATTTTGTTTGTTTAGAGAAAGAGGAGTGATGTGGAGGACAAAGGAGAGGAAGAGAGCCAAGAGCGCTGATGAAATACATGTTGTAAACAGAGTCTGAGGCTGCAGCCAAATCTGCACCAAGCAACGGTTGCCTCAATAGTAAACATTGAGATGATACATATTACAGTACAATACATCCATATCTACATTTTAAAACCTATTATACAGTAATTGATGATTTTTAGGTATCCAAAGGCTGCCTCACAGAGGAGGGAGAGACTGAAACCTTTCAGGATTTTTTGTGATTCATTCTTAATCTATATCTTCTTCTATAATGAAATAATTCTATTCATTCAAACATTCAATAAAAGTTATAATAATAATAGTTATAGTTTATGTAATGCTCCCTGTTGCTAGTGTTTTTATGTCAGGGTGTTGAGGGACATGTTTTCTGAATGAGAATCTGTTGCCAGCGATTGGTGGACTGAGTTTATCTTGAGAGACGTATGAAGTGTTTTGTTGGTCTGAGTGAGTTTTGGATGTTAGATTAACTGATGTAATGCAGATTGTATGAAGTGTGGTTTCACTATTGAACAATGCTTGATGGCAATTGAATAAAACTGTAACCTGTTTTCATTCTTGATGCACCCTTCATATGCAGGTCATAGACCTGCACGTGTGTTCATAGTCAATCTGCAAATGGAAAAGCCAAAGTCCAATAATGGCGGATACTCAGCGCATCAGTTTGCCGTTGACGTTTTGAAAGAGGATTTTTTTGTGCAGTTGGGATGCAGAAATATATCATTTAAAAAAAAAAAAAAAGTACTACATCAAAATAATGCCACTGAGCAATTATCACCAGGGCCTTTTCTTCAGTGTAAAGAGAAGTGTGACGGAGGCGGAGACCTATGAGCCTGAACAGATTGGCATCCTAAGTAATGAATTCAAACCTTCCAGCTGCTGTCTTGTGCTTGTTGTCCCCCTGTGTCCTCTTACACCTGTCCCCTGTCCCCTGTCTCCACCTCTCTTTTTATTGGCAGAAAACCTTACTGACTCCACAGCTCTAGGTAACGGGGAATGAGAAGTGCAGTGTGCCTGCCGCCTTTCCCTCCCCCTCCACATCTGTCCGTCTCCCTGTCAGTTAACACTGAGCAGCAGCGCAGTCCACCTGCACTGTAATGACCACTGACGTGCAATTCTACCCCCCTGCAGTTCCCTCTGGTGGGCATGTGTATATATTAATTTATTGTACATAGTCACGGCAGGGATGTGGTACCCTACAGGAAGCCATTCCTTATTTCCTCCTTTTCATTCCTTAATATGAGAGCTGGAAAGCACAGCAGATCTTGCTTCCTCTTTATTGAGTGATAGATCCTCTAGAATTAGGATTAACACCATGGGGGCAAGTATTAAAATAACATTTTGGACCAAAATCCTAATGCTCAGTGACCTTAGAGTTGGTCCTCAAACTATTTTCAATTCAGATGTTTACATCAGGCTTAATCTATTATTCATCAATTTATTGTTTCCCATTAAGATTAATTTAAACACACTTTAAAAAGTAAAAAATAATAATACAGTATGCGTTTCTGGAGTTATTTCAAAATCAAAACCCAAGTCAAAAATGATGTAACTTGTTGCTATTGGACTGAACTGCTGTGTATACTGCAATCTCCCCCTTTCGTCTTCATCACCTTCGTCTCCCCTGTGTGTGTGTGTGTGTGTGGCTGCTGTTTGCCTGCTGCTGTGTGCTGTCAGGGATTGAAGAGCACTCAACATGCTCAGGTTTCCCTCTGTGGTGCACATACTTAGTGAGGGAAACATACATACACAGCCGGTCATTTCAAAATGTAATATCAGAACTATTTCACAAATCTTTGGCACCACATTGTGGAGACCAGAGAGCTGATGGAGAATCCTGCCTTGGCGTTCATGTTGACCCTTGAACCGATCCCTGATGGCGCACCTGTACGATCTCTCGGCGGCCTCTTCTTGTTTGCCATCAGATGCAACGTAGCCTTTGGCTTTTAGTTCACCATTCACCCGTCATTGGACACAATGTCACGATGACACTGCTGTGTTTGTGTGTGTGTGTGTGTGTGTGAGGTACCAACATGTCACATTTTGATGAAGGATGTGACATGTCGAGTGTGCTGTGATCAGCCGTCGCTCACAGGCTCGATCCCCTCGCTTATGAGCTCTTCTGAAAAGTCCCACCACTCTGCCGTCTACGTCCACTGCTGCTGTTCATTCTCGTCTACACACGGTGACGAGGACTGCAGGTAAGGCTGCCTGGAGCTCCGGGCTGAGCCGGCTTGTGCTTCTGAACACGCTGATGTTCTCCTTCATCTCGCTGTGCTTTCACATCGGCCTCGCAGATGTAAGCATGCCGGCTGGTGATGATCTTGACTTTTACGGTGTGGAACGAGGGACCGTCACTCTGAAGCGGGAAAAGGGCGGGCCGGTCCCAACTTGGGCGGAGCCTGACTTCCAGAAGAGGGCGCCACTGCTTTACAAAAGTCACAAAACACATCTGCCCAGGGGCTGGATGCATTCGTTTGGCTTCATTTTAAATTGGTTTATCTAATCAGACAGCAAATAAAAAAGACCTAGTTAATGACACCATAGATACTTTTCCCCACACAGACATTTTCCTTGTTTTTCCCGAAAGCATTGACCTACACAATAAGGTCAATAAAGGAGAGGACCAATACTTAAAGCGGAACTCTGGACAATTTAAACAGCGTTTCCATAAAATGTGGGCACCTGTGAGAGGCACATTTTGAAATAAAGGTGTCCAAATCAAAGTAGCAGAGGTTGCAATGTCTTTTAGTCCACAATATAGGGGACATTACTGGATCCAACATTTCCCATGATGCAAACGATATCGGCATTTTTCCTTGACCCATGAATTCAAACTCCTTGTTTGTAGCAGGCTTTTGTTCTAAAGTTGTGGTCTTAAAGTCGGCGGTGAGGTCACCGAAGATGACATCATCAGCACCAAGGCCAACCCGATAACGTCGTCAGGGGGTATTCTCTCAAATGTGATAAAGCCCAGTCAGTTCTAGTAAATGTCCTGTGGCCCTTTCAGCACTCTAACCAACTCTCTGTGTCTCAGTTGGTCCTTCCCATAATGACTGAAGTGACAGGTCTTTCATTTTACCAGTGGGGTGCCCCTTTAAACAATCCCAGGTTCTCATAACCAGCCCCTTTAAAGGAAACACAGCGATATGTTGTATCATCAGCATCCGTCCTCTTGGTGGCAGTGGAAGCTTCGTCAAGTGTGTTTGGATCCCATCAGAGAACATTGTGGTCGTTCATTGGCTCTTGGCGCATGAGTGAACTCCCTCCGGTGTGTGTTACCGCCTGTGAGCCTGTTTATGTTCCTGCTGGATTGTCTTTAACCCTTTGCTCTCTCCCTCCTCCTCCTCCTCCTCCTCCCCTGTAGTCGAGCTTACCGATGCCTCCGTGGCCTCGGCTTTCTCTCCCACTCCTCCTCCTCTCGCTCCTCTTCCTCCTACTGCCGTGACTCCTACAACCATTAGTACCTCGACTTCTGCCACTCCGACACCTCCTCCTCCTCCTCCTCCTACTACTACTACTGCTACTACTACTGCTACTACTCCTTCTACCACCACCACCACTACAGCCGAGGCGACCACTACCACCACAACTACAGAGCGGGTCACCATCAAGCGCACTGATCAGAACGTGTTGGGTACATGCTGTTGTCCCACTGTGGTTTTCTACCTTTTTTTTCCTTCTGGTGTTTGTAGTTGACCATGAATGACTTGATGGATATGAAAAGACAGTTGTCTTCTCCCACCTGACCGAACAGGAGGCTGCATCAGCGCTGCATTCCGATGAGCTGTGCTGTACCCACCGTAGAAAAAGTGGGGAGTTACTTCAGAATATCGGGATGTAGCCAGCAACTGTCCTCCTGGTCAGGGAGTGAGAATCCAAACTGTTCTTTATGGTTAAATGGATGTTGATGAAGGGAAAGGTCTTGGAGAGAGTTCCATTCAACACAGTATGGATGAGGGTTGTGATGTTGGCACAGCTCATCATTTTCCTTTTAGTTTCTGACCCAGAAGTAAACATTGCAACAAGTACGTGTTTCATGAACACAAAGTTTTTCTGGAATTTTTTGTCCATGAACATGTAACTTTCTTCTTGTTTAAAGCAGACTATGATCTGGATAACACGTTTTGCAGTTAGAGTCCCTTAGTGGCGGCACCATGCAAAGGTCTAAATAGAGTCCTATGTATGGGTGTTGTAACTTTGCAATCTCTGCCCTTTGCCCCTGACCTTTAACCCTGTACCCCCGACCCCTCCCCTTTGTGTAGTGGCCGATAGGTGGAAGATCTGGAATCTGACGGTGGAGCCTAACAGTAACTACGCTAACGTCAGCTGGAGACACAACTTCCCGGCCGGCAGCAGCGAGTTTGTGCTAGAGTTCACACTGGACAGTAAGAAACCAGACCGAGCCCACAGTGAGCGAAGCTAAGCTAAGAGCTACATCCGAACCTCCTGGTTGAAGGCTGAAGGAGCCAGAGTAGTGAGACGATCAAAAAACAGATTTTAGGTGTATGAAAAGGTTGAGACACTAAGGAGGATCTCCTAGACCACGAGTTTGAAAGCCGCACTATCAACATCTTTGAAATCAATAACGGGCCAAAGGACTGTGTGTGATGTTGTTTTTGGGTTGTAGCAAAGAACCCAACTTTATCAGAGCTTTATCATCTTTCCACCAACTGCTTTGGTAGTCGGGGCCTAAACGTCGTTTGGTTTATTTCCAACTAAATTTCCACTTGTGAAAAGTCTTTGCTGCACACTTTATCTGCTTTACCTGACCAGAGTTGCCAGAGTTGGCCTGAAGGGGGCGACCGTGGTGAACAGACAGAGAAGAGAGGGTGCTCCCGGCAGGGTTGATGGTTCGATCCCCGGCTGTCCCGCGTCTACGTGTCCCTGAGCAAGACACTTAACTCATAACTGCTCTCTCTGGATATACAGGATTCTTTCTTTCTCTAGTGAAGAACAAACCCACCTGCTTAATGCGGCTTAAAACACACATTAAGCACCAAGACTATTTTTTTAAGGAAGGGACAGGATGCGTAAGAGCCCTTTTCCTTACAAAACCCCCACTGGGCAGAAATGTAATTATCCGGTCAAACCACGTTTTCCTATCAATTCCTTGTTGTTGGCAGCTACATTTGTATTACTATAACAAGATGGAGCAATGCAAAAACTAAAAAATGAAATCAATGGCAGGTTTTTATTTGATCAAATTCCTTGCTTTAAGGGTTTTGCTGAAATGTGTTTCTTTCTTACTGATGACCAGCAACCTTAATGCAAAGCTCTTTTATGCAACATTTTGCTAAGTAAAGAGCATTTAAGGGACAGAGGACATGAGTAAAACAACCGGTTCCAATGTCATCAGCAATTGAGTGGGTGTTACTGGTGGTCAGCCTTATAAATACATGGTTGGACCTGCTACTCCTGCCAATAGATTCAGTAGACAAGGCTCTCAGTCAGTCAATCAGCAGCAGAATAGTGGCAGTGGCCACTGATTACGCCCATTGGTGCCCACAGAATCTCACGGGAGATAAACTTTGACAGCAGCACGTGCTGCGCTCTATTGGCCTGTAGTTTTACTTCTCGTTGAAGAACGTTGTGTTTGCACCTAAAGACTGACGTCCTGATCTGTAAAAAAAAAAAAAAAGCCCAACAGACCACAGTCTGAGTTTCTGTGTGTGTTTCTATCTCTGCCTCTTCTTCACATGTTGCTCATTGCCTTGCTGTGCAGTGCCCCGTCCCGATGGTTTCTTTAATCACGCTGCTTGGCTTCCTGTGGCTCCTGTGCTCTGTGCGAATGGGCTGCTCGTCTTGCTTCGTCTGGCCCTCCACGCTTCCATAATCACCGTGTTTTGCTTTGGATTGGGTGTGGAGCACTCTTAAAGTCGTGCTTTTATAAAAAAAGGACTGAGATTGGATAAACCAGCATGTTTAATCTCTTTGTAATTGCACTTTTGAACAAGAACACAAAGGAAGGAGGATGTATTTTTCATGTTCTTGGATCACGGCTTTAATTCTTAATGATGTCTGAATGTGAATATAACGAGAAAGGGAGAGAGGGAGGGAGGAAAGGGGGATGATGAGACTGATCTAATGGTTAACACCCCTCCCACCCCTCCCCCGTTCTCCAAGGTCACATTGGAAAGCTTTGACTCTCAGTAAATAGTGGCAGGAGGCCTGTGACACTCCCCCCGCCTCTCATCATCATCCCCCTCATCCTCTCCCCGCCTCTCATCATCATGCCCCTCATCCTCCCCCGGTCTCTCCGACTGAGATCCAGACGGATCTGCATGTCTGTCAGAAGAGGATTTAGAATGAGGCTTTGGTCGCGTGAAACAGAAAAACTGGCCGTACTTTATATATATATATATATATAATATTAAATGAGAATTCTTGCAAAAGTTGGAAATAATTTTAAGGGTTTGGGCATAAGAGCAATGAAAAGACAGTTTATGTTTCCATACAAGCTTAGAATTTAAAAGAAACGTTTTCCGCAGTAAAAGATTCATTTAAAGTTCAATTTAATTACATTTTTTTAAAACTTATAAATATATATATATATTTAAATCAGTCTATTTGCATGATGAAAGGTAACAATAGCATGACCACTTCCTAGTACTGTTGTATACATCTTCTATTTTGTGTTCATGATGCATGATTTGTATTACAGAAGATAGTGTCTGCTCATAATATAATAATTATTTTAATAATTTTTACTACCCACAGCATTCATTTATAACTGTATTTTTACTGCACATAGAACAGTGCTGTATCTGAAACAAGCTAGGTTGGCATTTCATATCATTTTAATTTCCCCACTTAATATAATATATATCAACATGTTTTAACATTAATTTTTTGATTTAACAATTAAAAATAAATGAATGATCTATAATTATTATGGTAGGTTTTTTTTAGAGGAGACAAGACAATCTAGAAAATCACGTGATCTAAAACGTATATATAGTTTAACATTTGGTCGTGTGTTGTTACACTGATGGAATTACGGCTGTGGAAATGTAAATCATTCTCTTCGCCCTGAGCTCAAGTGATACGAGTAACAATGAAACCAGGAACAACACAATCTCAACGCAACGTAACAATGTGACGTAACAGCACAACATATCAAAGCAATGTATCAACTTAACAGTGTGACATAACAACGTTGTTACAATCTAACAAGGTAACAACATAACATATCGAAATAAGCTAAGAACACTGACGTAAAAACATTATGATTTAAAGTAGCAACGTGACAACCACGGCAATAATATGACGATGTAACTGTGATTCAACGCTACAACGTAACAATGCATCTGGCGTGGTTACATACCGACCAAATAGCAGACTTTATGTTAAATGAAGAAACTGTGAAGTCAGACCCAAAGGGAGATCTCATCGATGAAAGACATTTGATCAGGTTTTTCTTCCACGTAAGAAGATAACGATCACTCTACCAAAGCTCACGTCTTGGCCTCGCTGACGGCGGCACATTGAAGAAGGATGTGACGAAGCACTGGCAGGTCTGCCGTCCGCAGCAGACCTTTGGCTTGGCTGGTTCCAGGGCTGCTGATAATAGCATGGCTTGGGGATGAGTTGTGGTCGACGAGTTGGCGAATGGTTGACAGCATGGTGCACGATGTCACCACTTCGTGCCGCCCCCCCCCCCTCTCACTACAACCTCAGAGTCGTGCTCGCAGCTTGTCCATCTCACCACCATCCCGTCTTTCTACCGGAAAGAGGCAGCTCGCCGTTTTCTTTTTGTTAAAACTCACGGAGACATTTGAGACGAAACAATGCTTTGGCAACCCCTCACATTACCCAAAAGTTGGCCAATTCTGGTGTAGACGCTGAATTCCACAGTGTCGTGGGGTTTGCCTGAAAAAGCATCTGCTCCTTAGGCCCTTCTTCTCCTTCGCTTCCCATTTTCGCTTTTTTGGAGAACTTTGCCCTTGAGGGAAAACGTAGTAGACGTTCTAAACCACTCCATGTGTGTCCTCCTAAAGGGGCAGGTCTTAATGATGGGGGCTGGTCACTGCATTGTTATCAGTCTCAATTCACATCCGGGAACGCTGCTCTGACAGCAAAGCATCGTGGATGCCGTGACCTTTGCTGGTCTGCGCAGCGTTTCCCGCGGAAAAAAAAAACGAAGGCCACACCCTCTGGAGTGTGATTGGCCCCCTTTCTTGTGTCTTCAAGGCGACAAGTCGGTGAAAGTTGTACCGGTGAAACAGCAGCCCCCCATTACAGTGGCGGATCTGATCGCAGGCGCCAAGTACCAGCTGAGGGTTTACTCCCATGAGCTCAACAGCGTCAGCAGCGAATCTTTCATCTTTAAGACCAAACCAGGTGAGGCCCCACCTGGCCGGGTGGAACTGGGGTTCCAGCCAGGTGGGCTACTCAAGTCAGTCAGTACGTGTTTCTCTAATGCACGAGTGGGAGTGATAGTTGCGTTCCTGTGAGATGGAACTCAAGGATTCATCGGACTCACACACAACTCACATTCTCTCTTCTGATGGTAAATGCTTCACAGATGCACCTCCAGGTTCTCCCTTGAATAGTTTGCATGGACTTAATGACTGTATATACGACTGTATATAAACTGCAGTGCACCGTAATGTATTCATGATGCTGTGACATGCTCTGGTGTCTGACCTGGAGAAAGTAATTCATTCTAATTCAGTGCTAAAATCTGTAACAGTTATCGGCTATAATGTCAACTGTAAAGTGTAAATGAATGTTTGTTCTTTTAGGTTGTACTGAAATTCTCTCTGGGAAGCGACAATTGTTTTCATGCCACAAACCCTCGTGTCCCACCTCAGACCCACACACTCGGTAATGGGAAACCAGTCGGATGGTATCTAGGATCTCGTGGCTGTAGATCCTAGACACACATTTGTCGACCTCCACCGTGCGCATTGAAAACATCTAGTCTGATGTGTTCGCTGGGACTCACCGTGTATCCCCTCTTCTCTCTTTCCACGTGTGTGCGTGTATGTTCAGCCTACATAGACCAGGTGGACATAGCCACCCAAGGCTGGTTCATTGGCCTGATGTGTGCCATTGCCCTCATCATACTGATCCTCCTCATCGTCTGCTTCATCAAGAGGAGTCGCGGGGGCAAATACCCAGGTAAGACCCCCCCACACGGAGGACTTGACAAAGAGTCAGAATTCTTATGAACTGCATTAGTCAGAGTAGCCGCCTTCTCTTTTAAACTAAAAGCTGCAACTTTATTTTAAAGAACTATGTATCGTATCTCTTAAAACTATCAGATATAGGATCATCTTTTGTTAGTCTCTCGTTCTGAAGACACACGTTTGCTACTTTGTTCCATTACTGGCCACTGTTCCATCCATGCGACTATTGCTGGATGTTTGACATTTATTTTGTCAGTGAGAGAAGTTGTTAAGTTCACAAACTGTTGTGAAACGTTATGAGCGTGAACGAGGGAAAACAGCAGCCCAATTGTCAAATATTCTACCCCCGTTTCACTCAACAAAGCAACTGTCTGCGACGGTATTTTGCTTCTTCAGACCAATAGTTGTCGTGCAGCATTGACGCTGACCTCGCACACGTGATGATTCAATGCTTTGGAACAGCAGATGTCAGAGTCGTGTTAATGTTTTGCAGTTTCTATAATGTCCAGGTGGTGGTTGCGTGACTGGTTTCGCAAAATATCTGGGTAGGTGCTGTAAAAGTGGAAAATTAACACCCAATAATAAGGATTGTTCGAGAAAAAGTGACTAATGAGAGGAGAGCTCACGTGCACGATTAAAACCTGTCTGAGGCGCCGTTCAAACCCAACCCGGTGTTCTGTGACTAAAACAGGCTTGGACACGACTTTCGTCCTCTTCTGTGTGACATGAAACCTTGTGATAAACGTTTAGAGTTTCATATGTACAGAACTGCATATTAAGTAACCGACTTTAACCAGCTTTAACCACCCTTGACACGGCTAATTTTAACAGGAAGATCATTACTTCAGCTTTACGAGTGGAATTAAGGGACGCGGCGTTTCTTAACAGCTAATAAAGTGAAGTCATCGACTTGTGTTCAAACTAACTTTTTATATACAAAATCCAAATCCAACAGCAACATTCTGAACACGTCTCTGTTGTTCCTCCTTTCTCAGTCCGTGACAAAAAAGACCTCCCCTTGGACCCCGTAGATCAGAAAGACCAGGACGGATCCTTTGATTACCAGTAAGTATATACCACAATGTGACATCCACACTGCCTCTACCGCCTTTGTAATGATTGAAATGAGGTTTTCAGCGATGGAGGGAATAGGATCATGTTATAGAACCGCTAAGGAGTCTCATCTTGTATACGTAACGTTAAAGGTCACAGCCGGACAAATTCTCCCGAACACGCAATCAATGCTGCAAGGTCCTTTAGATCAGTAAATCCACGACAGCAAAACCTCAGACCTGCATTTCATTGGAACGGGAGGAACATCTCGCTCCTCGTTCCGCAGATACTCGCACCGCTCCACCGTTCCTCCAGTTCCACGGGGCGTTCGCGATGAGCTAGAAAGCAGGACACAAACGTGATGGGTATCAGTTGAAGGACTCTACTGGTATTGGTATCTCTTAGGGCAGTGGTTCTCTAATGGGGGAACATGAAGGCTCTCCAGAGGGTACGTGAGATTTAAAAAAAATGAATTCAAAATTAGCACCCGTTAAAAAATCGCCATTAGTCCGACGCTTCATCCCCTTAGAGGCTCATGTGCGTCTTCCCTGAGGCGGGGCGAGGATGTGCTGTGTGTTTTGTGCGATGTGCGTTGTAAAGTAAGTGACGTGTCTTTTGTCCCCTCCAGGTCCCACTGATCTCTGTGGCGTCGTTCCTCTCAGTGAGGAATGAGTTCATCTGCTCTGCGTCCGTCCCACTAAAAACACGCCTCATTTAACCTGCCTTCTAAATCCAGCTGCACGCGTCGCGCTGTAACGCCTGTAACTAAAACGCGTCTCTTTAACCGAAGGCGCTGCGGAGTGACAAAGGGCTCCTGCGTGTTGTCAGTGACCTCTGATCAGAGGATAAACGCCTTCTTATCAACGCACGTAACTTTAAGGCTCTTTAATCCACAGCGCCGAGGAATGTCTTAACCCCGTGTAGCTCAGTTTTGGTGTGTTTTTGTAAGTATAGATGAGATGGCTGAATAAGAGAAGAGGACGGATCAGCATTTATTATCAGCCGCTGTGCTTAATACCGTGTGCTTCCTTTAATCCGCAGCGTGTGAGCTGATCAATAATGAGTCTAGTTGCTGTAACCGCAGTCCAAGGTCATTGCTTTGCTCTGATTCTGACCCAGACTCACCTTAGCTCTGTGTGTGTGTGTGTGTGTCTGTGTGTGCACGCCACGGTTTACATGCATGAATCATGTGGAGCGTGTCCTCCTCCTCTCGTTCTCTCTCTGCACCCCCGTCTCTCTCTCTCCCCCCCCCCCTCCCCCTGTGTCCTCACGTCTCGTACCTCTCTCTCCCCCCCACGCTGAAATGGGTCGTCTGTCCCTGACAGGAACGAAAACGAGAACAGGTACTTGGTGGTTTTTGGCACGGCATCTCTTTCGGCACTGTGCATGTTGGGGGGAGCAGGCGTTTCCCCTGAGACGGGGGGGGTGGGGGGGGCGCTGCCTGGATGAGGCGAAGCTCATCTAAGGAGACCAGAGCGAATAATGTGCCTGATCGATGCATGACTGGCTCTTTGGGCCGTCTGTGAACACACCGTATTCAAGGAGAAGCGGTCGTAGTCCAACCGGCTTGTGAAGCGCTGCTTGAACGACGCGGCAGACATGATTTAAAGTGCCTGATGCCAACGCCTTTAAATGTGATCCGTAGAGAAGATTCAGCAGAGGGAGGTGATGCTTTGGTTCCTTATGGGTGTCAAACTCTCCACCAAACTATGTAATCTTCAAGTGCCAGAGGCCCATTCAGGTTCCATGATGGTCACATGACAGGACAGAGAAAGACAAACAGGCTGAGCATTTATTGCAGATATGAAAGACTTTTTATTCAAACACAAACCCACAGAAAAACTACGTTTCCCTGTTTTTTCAACAGCAGTCTGACACCGTTTTTTCACTGATTGGGAGATGAGGTGATGAGTTGTTGCTATCAGGCAAGATAGGATTTTTTGCTAGAATCAAGTTGTTCGTCTGCATTGTGCGTTTGGCACAAGGGTAGAGAGGGTGCGCTGAGAGCCACAAGGTTGGTGGTTCAAGCCCCGGCTGCTCCATGTCAAAGTGTCCCTGAGCAAGACGCCCAACCCCTAATTGCTCCGCGGGAAATAATGTAAAACGCCATGTGTTAAAAATGTAATGTAAGTCGCTGCAGATCAAAGTGACAAAGACAACAAGGATAAACTGTTGAAGGTGAATGCTGCTGGTGCTGCAGGTCCAGGACCTTTGATTTAGGTTTAGGTACCAAAGTCAATTCAATTTCAATAGAATTTATTTAGTATAGACCAATATCTTAATATCTTCCCCAGTGGGGAAAGTTCTGCTTTTAAACTGGTATAATTGGGCCACAGGGTCAAGTCTTTCTCCCTTGCAGAGGTTAATTGCATTGTTTGTTCCTATAAAAAGCCTCGTACAGCAGGGTGGAGGTTAATCACTCTGCGTGTCAGTGAGGGCAGGAAAGCAGGATTCATCCATGTTTGGGATGATTCGACACCCATAAGGAACTTGGTTTAGGCAACAAACAAACATCCGGAGGACAAAAGATTCACCGTACAGAAGACTTTAGATTAAACGTGAGGCAAACCCTTTCTTTGAGGACCATGTCTATAATGATTTATGATCATTCATTATAATGTCAGCAGATTATAACAGAAGAGTGTACTTACAGGTAAAAGCATCATGGATGACCGACTATTCCTCCTCCTGTTGGCTCCACCTGTGTTTGCATTCTGTCTTCTTTCTTCACTATTTCAGTGTTTAAGACCAGATTGAAGTTTCACTTGCATAAAAAGAAGATTAGATCTTATGGTGCAGTAAAGGATTATTCTAATTTATTACAACCTGGGTCTTTGTTTACGTGGTTGGCTTTATTAAGGGCTAATGGCAACATCACATTTAAATCAGACCGGTCAAGAAACACAAGCATCCCACAATCGTGCAGGTTGTGAAAAAAAAAGGTGAGGATTGCTAATGTTTGCTAATGTTTGCTAATGTTTTACAACCCAGCTGCTTGTGTGGAAATTGGACAAACTGAGCGACCGCTTGTGTTTCTTGCTCCATTAAGCTTCGTAGTAAGTCCCAGTGTTCCCATTTCTCAGCAACTGGTGACATCAGTGTTGCAACTAATAGGGATGATGGCCCCCAAAGAAAACCATTAAAACACGGCCCCAGGTGTAACAATTTGGAATAAGAAGGTTCACGTGCGATGCAGCCCCCTTCTCAGCTCGGGTTACGATGGTTTAAATGTATTTACCTCCACTATGTAAATATAAATACTGTTGCTCTTACCCTAATCTCACTTTCCAGTACTTGTGTATTTATGTGTGTCTGTTTTTCCATCTGTGTCACAACTGTCTTTCTGTCCAACCCTCCACCCTTTCATGTCTGTGTCCTTTGTCTCTTTGTGGGATTTATTTTCCTCATTGGTCCTAAAGGTCTCTTGAAAGGTACTGTATGCAATGAGAAGGGTCCTCTTCTTCTTCTTCTTCTTCTTCTTCTTCTTCTTCTTCTTCTTCTTCTTCTTCTTCTTCTTCTAACGTTTGCAGTGCATTGAAATTGTTGAATATCTGTTGGAGCCATTAGACTTTGTTAACACCCTAATGAGCATTTCTTCACACAGTTAATCCAATATTGCATAACATGTGAGCCATACAATGTAAGTAAAATAGGCACACTCCTCATTGTACACTGAGTCTAACGTATTGATCAGCTATGATGTCATCATCACCTGAATACACCGTTTTTATGCCTTCTCTCGAAATGAACACACACCTGCTGCAGTTTCGAGGCACTTGTAAATGTTCCTTTGCTGGTTCTGTATCCAGCTGTTGACATCCAGCCCAAGCTGCGGAGAAAATGCATTAAAAAGTGGACTTCCACAAGAGACACTGACGTCTCCTTCGTCCGTTAGATCCGTCTTTCAGCAGCCTCAGTGGACTTAATTGTCCACTAACAATTGTTAAGACTCATAACCTTTACACGATGTAGCTTTCATTTTTAATATACATCATCACTTGCTTCGACTCGTTGTTAAAACATCCGCGTTTAACGTAGCACCGAGTTAATGCACAGACCTGCGCAGAGAAGACATGTCGAACAGGAAAAGACCTCACCGCTCGCATCCTTTGAGCGCAACTTCTGCTGTTATGCTCACGGCTTGATCAGAGAAAAGAAAGCTAATGCCAAACTGTAGCTCTTTCTCCTGCGCATGAAGTTCTCTTCCCGCTAAAATCAGAGTCAGGAGACATGCAGACATGCTCTGAACTGAAATCAAGCACCGCTCCATGAATGAGGTACGCCGGAGTTGTTCTGCCTGATCTCAGGTCAGAACATGGCATCATTTAGCATGTGCACGCAGTATTTATCTCTTTGAATCACCCCTGTTTCCTACTAAATACTCCGATCTAAGACTGTGTTGGTAATAATCCCATCGGTAATATTTTGTCTCAGTGAGTGTGACGTTTGTATAATGTACAGAAACATGTTGACAGTCATTGTTTCAGATCCATTCTGTATTGGAAGTGAACATCTTGCAGATCCAGCTCACATTCATCTAATAAATATCAGTTTAAAGCAAATTAGTTTTAGCTGAACATACTTTTCAGGAGACAGGGTTGCTTTTAAAACAAATACTGTATATAGTTTTCTGCTAAACGGACGTATAACTATAGATCAACAAGCATCTCTGGTATAAAATGCTAATGCAGCTGTCTTATTAAAGAATGGGTTTGGATTCTCTACTGTGACGCGGTACTCACATGCCATCTAGTTCACGATGCTGCGAAGCCAAAGCACGACTACACGTGAAGTAAAGCGAATGCACGGGCTTACAGAAGCGTACAGTTCTACTGTTACATTTACCTTCTTAGAAGGTAAATGTGCTGAATGCACATTCTCATGTGTAGTTATTCCTCTGCAAAAGGCCAGTTTAAGAGCATTAATACCATGTGAGTGCTCTATTCACATTATTCAAACCAATCCTTTAAGGACAAAATGGAAAAGAAATGACTCATAAAACTCTAAATTGTAGTCGGATATGACCTGAAAATGTGGAATTACCATCATTTCTTTATCTGCCATCCGCATAACCTTCACCCTTCACCCCTTTAACCGGCGCCGCTGAGGACGACGGCCCCAGACTCCGACGCTGAACCAGCGTCCCGCTCCCCGTTTTTCTTTTTTTTTCACCCCTCAACTCTGCTCTCCGTCCGCCTCCGCAGCAGCGACGAGGACAACAAGCCTCTCCAAGGCAGCCAGACATCGCTGGACGGCAACGTGAAGGAGAGCGACGACAGCCTGGTGGACTACGGCGAGGGCGGCGACGGCCAGTTCAACGAGGACGGCTCGTTCATCGGCCAGTACACGGTGAAGAAGGACAAGGACGAGACGGAGGGAAACGAGAGCTCCGAGGCCACCTCGCCCGTCAACGCCATCTACTCGCTGGCGTAGCCCCGTAGCAGACAAACCCCAGCGCCGCCCGACCCCCCCCCCCCCCACACACACACACACACACACGAATAAATGACCCCATGAAGGAACACGGAAGGGCCTGTTGGGAGACTGCGCGAGCTTCCCTCTGCCGAGGAACACGGGTAGTGGAATTAGACGACATTTAGGAGTGGGCCCGCTGAAGGTGGCGTTGGGACGAAGTGCTCGTCTTCCTTGAATCTCTGCTTGTCCTCACACGGACTAGACGTGTGCCTTCAGGGCAGCTTTCAGCTCTTTGAGGCGTTCGTTAGAGATTTTTTCCTTTGGCTTGTTTCTGCTCTGAACATTTCCAGTGTCCCCCCCCGACTCACCTCTAATACCTCTGTGTAGCGTCCCGGCAAAGTACACACAAGAGGTTCCGCACACACACACACACACACGCATAGACACACTGGCCCGTCCTGTAACATATCAGCTTTTAACCATCAAACTCAACAGGATGCCGGCAGATATGTTTATCATATTGATATTTACGCAATGAAAGAGTTCAGTTTTTCCACAGCTGGTAGACGAGTCATTGAATCTGCTGTATTCAGTTCTGCCACACGTTTTAACGCCCTGCAAAACTATGCACTATCATCTCCTCCATAGCGTTCTGGGTGTAACCTGGTTAATAAAAGTACACGTTTTGGGTTTGTTTGTTTTGACCATTCGTAGGCTAAATCCAGTGCGTTTATTCACTCTGCCTTGTGCGTACTGAGACATGTTTTTCTTACCTCTACGCCGATGTTGTACAGCAGATGTTCAAAATGGCCGCCACGAGCTGCGCTGAATTATTTTATTAATGGAGAGTATTATTTTGGAGCACGGTCGCAACTCGGGCCGAGAGAAAACGGACGGCAACAGGGAGGAACGTTTGCTTGAGGACCACAACCCATCGAATCCAGTAGTTAGCGTGCAGGCTAATGCTGCAGTCACGTCCAGCGGGGACATCTGTCGGCTGACAGGTCGAGTCTTGGCAGATGGATCTGTTTTCCTTTCCGCTTTGGTTTATTCATTGTTACGTACGGTACTTTTGAAACTTATGTTTTATACGAAACCACACGTTTGAACCGAAGGATCCACAGCTCATTTGTTGAACTTTACAGATTGAGAAAAAGATTTTAAAAAAGCAGCGTATGGGCCTCGTGAAACACTAGATTTGCAGCATGAACATATTTACATCGAAATCACAGCCACCTTTGGAATGAAACAAATCAACTCATTTTTTTCAAAAGAAGAAATTAAAAATATAAAAAATGTTTGAGGAACAGAACCTGTTAGAAAGTAAACTCAGTATTCTACTCATCCTACAACCACATGACTCATGCTGTAGTTACCTAACAGCACTATGAAACCCTCCACTGTTAAACCAGAAATATCTTTACTGCAGCGACTGCGGTTCTCATTGTACTTATATTTATTTCATATTTCTGTTTATTACATTATGTGAATAGTAATAATATTAGTCCTTTATTTAATAATTGTCAAACACACACTTTTGAGCAACTCATTTTGTTGATTCACGCCAGAAATACGTACGTGTCCAGAATCTGCCATTCTTCATCGGGAGAAGCATTAAACACAATCTGTTCCAGATGTTTGTAATATTTGTAGCAGCTGGCCTTTCTGCCGTGAGCAAAGAACATCAACATACCTGTCATGTTCATCTGCCCGTTGTGCTGCTCTTCTCGTACTCATGTTTGTATTACAGTTACTCTGTGTTGTTATTCAGATTTATGTAACATAACCTTTCCGCCTCACAGAAAATAATTATTGTTGTTCATTATTTATTTGACATATATTCTGTACATGTAGGTCCTGAAAAAAAAAACTCTTATATTTGTAAATATATCAAAGTTGATTCCTCCAGAAAAAAATGCTTTATCCAAGAAGGAGAGAAAAAGTCACGATTCAGCATCCATCAAGCGACGATCATGTGACGGGTGCATCTTTAGTCCGTCGTGCACCTTCGTAGCTTTGACTGACATTTGCACTCTGAAAAAGTAACGAGAATCATTCTTCACCCTATGTCGCCCTTTGCTTTGCCATTGTGACACGTGGTCACATCTTCTCTGATAGTTTGGGTTCTATTTTGGGAAAGAGGAACTAGTTTGAGGGTCTATGATGTAAATAAAGGCTCCTGCAACAGTCGGTTTGTAGCATAGTCGCACAGACACAGCTAGTAGGCCTAAAACAACAACAACAACAACAAAATGCTCCTTTTAACCGTCCACTTAAAATGGCTGTTGTTGCACAGCAAGGGCCATTTCAGGGGCCTCCTCGCGGAACCGGTTCATACGTTTGGGAGCTGTAGCTTACATTTTGCAACCGGACTTCACAGTGACAAAAACCTGCTCCAGTTTTATTCCACATTCTGGTCCAGTTGGTGGATTATGCTCATTTAGCTGGTTTACCAAGAAGGGTCATTTGTCCTTAAAGGAACAAAGTGAGAAAAAGGGTCAGAAGTGTTAAATGCTTTAAATTGTTAAACTGTTAAATTTGAGTACCTTCACCAGGTGACAACTGACAAACAGTGAAGCGGGTTAAAATCACAGATGAATTGATAAAAATCTTCAGATTTTCAGTCTGCAAAATCAGACCAAGTGGATCCAGCAGCGACTATTTACATCCTGCATTGGCCCCAAATTATCATTTTATTTCATTACAACTTCATCTGGCAAAATTACTATTGGACAAGGATTTCCTAAATGCACAACGGGTTTACTTAAAAAAGAAGGCTTTCATTCCTTGCTCATTTGGAGGAGCCCTTAAAATTAGGGCCCTTATAATTTAGAGACTTTGTAGGAGGAGGCCCCTAAATTTGAACACAATATATAATCCTTATTAAAAAGACTTCTGGCCTGGTATCTCTCACCACTTTTTTTATGTTGGTGTGAACACAGAGGGTTGTTAGTTTGAGACACCGAGCACATAAATCTTGACAATAACCAAAAGGCCGCTGTTTAAATAGAAGAAAACAAGAAGAAAAAGCGCTGCCGGCTTTGAACATTCAAGTCTGCACTTTCCCACTGGACTTATGTTCATCCACATCTGGTCAGGAAACCTGCAGCTCCCTCTCCCACATAGCCTCTCCTCTTGCCCCTCTCAAGTGGATCCCAGTGGGGAAATGTTGTAAACTGGGTGTATAACAAAGAAAAGTGAATTATGCATATTTGCTGATGAACAGTGCTGTTTTTCTTGTCCTCTTATTTGTGCACGTCGACTCTCTTTCTACCGTCTCAGCTCGCCTTCGAAGGGGGAAAAGAAGATGTCCATTCGCAGCGTTGTGTTTTTCTTCATTACAAAGTGCTGCAAAGTGTAGAATTTGGTGCACACACACGATCTGCAATTGCATTTTTTGTTTTTTTTTAACAATTGATCACGTGCTTTTGGGCTTTTTTTTTATATGAATTCTCATGTTAGCATCTTCATGTTTGTAACGTATGTATCAGAGCAGCTCTTCAAAGTATCGCTTCGACACGCAAAGTAAGAGCTTTTGTAAGGTACATACTCAACAAAAAAATGGCATAAATATATTCACCTTGTATGCGTGTATGATGAGATGTTGCAACTTCTGCTAGCGACGCCTTCTTTATAGTAAAGCTATCTCCTTTTCTCTACCTCCTGACTGCTGGTCTCTCTGTTCATCCAAGGGCTTGTTTCATGCTGTCAGAACATACAGTATCTTACATACATGTTCCTATTTGTTAGCCTTTCTTCATCGACGTCACAGCGAACCTGGACATTTGTTTTTTGCCGCCTGCGCTCGGCTCCTTGGCATAAGATGACCTTTGCTTAGCAGAGACAAGCCTCACTTTAATGGGCTCAATCAGTAACGTTCCTTTTTTGTAAGTTGTGTTTATTGTCAAAAGCAAAGTGTAGTTATAACTTACACTTTTACACATTTTACAGAAGAAGAAACGTGGTAAAACAGTCATGTTAACAGACTTGACTCTCTCTTAAGCGTGGAGGGTTTTCCATCCATCAAAGTCTCTTCCTCTCGGTGATTAATGGGGAGAAATATCTATTAAGTTTTCAAATATACGAGTGATGTAAATGCCTGAATATTTGAATTCAGAGACACACGTGTGAAAAGGCAGTTGTATTCCCGGACTACTTATGGCCTATATTGTTCAAAGCAGGGGTTTCAAACTCGCGGCCCGCGGGCCGATTGAGGCCTCTGGACGATAGTTTTGTGGCCACCACCCTAATATGAAAGTGTAATGTTAGTGTGGTCCACGGGTTTTATTTACAAAACCTCCCTGCTTGACATGACCTGGGATAAAGTGCATTACACCGTTACAATAAAAAACTGCCGTGAACGCTGGGCTCATTTTACCAGCGCGGCTGAAAGATGAATTAAAAACGCCGCTACAGTAAATCTAGTTTGGGGGTCGGACACAAATGGAAAGAGGCAGTGGTCCCTGTGGTGAGGACATGTTTTATTGAAGATGGCCAGCTCCATTCTGCCTTGACCCCGTCATGCTGGTAAATATTAATGTCGAGCCCTCTGTATATACGGCCGTTCCAACCGCCTCGTACATCAGCGGGTAAAGGCCATTAGCAACCCAATACACGGGCCGGCAGACGGGCGGGTATTGGCCCTGCGTCTCAGAGGAAGTCCTGGGTTTTTATTACGTTTTCCTCAGGTTTCGGCAACAATCGAACCAAAGGTTGAGAGAAATAAATTCTCTGTGATCCGCTACATATCGCGTGTGTGTATCTGCTTCAGATTTCTTAGTTTAATATTAAGACAAATCTCCTTTAATGAAATTCGGAATACATTTCAAGTTAAATCTTTAGTCATCTCCTCGTGGATACCAGAAGGTTCTTTAACATTTTGGCTCAGACGTCGGCAGCATTTTCAATCTGATGTTGAGTTAAGATTTGATAAATATTGTGGTCTCCAAACTGTATGTAAGAATAATAGTCTTTCAAATGTGTGATAGAACTACTGTATGCGAGCCGTCCTCGCCCCAAAACTGTTGCTTAGTAATATTTACATTGTGATATTTGCGTTTGTGTGGCGGCGACATCATGTAGCCTTTTGCACAGAGGGAAACTATTAGGCTCCGACAGAAATAACAGCAGTTAGTTGATAACAATCTCATGGTCGGTTTTTGGTTTGTTCATCAGGAATTCCAAGTTAGGAAAGAGGCCCAGGACCTCTGTGTCCTTCACCGTCCTCTGTGCCTGTCTCTTAATTTCAAAGCAACCCAATACATGTGAACAATCTCCAAAACGATGTGCCCCACGAGAATGACCGGACTCCTGTAAAGTTACACGATGTGTTGGACAAACACTTTTGCCCTTGTGCTCACAGATGCTGTTGGCGTCTCCACTGGGAAATGTTCTTATGAGCACAGACAGAGGCTAGGCAGTCAGCAGAAACCCAAGCCAGTTATCCAATCAAATCAGCTACCGGCTTTTCACACACACAACTGCCAGGAACTCTGCAACAATCTGGAGAAGTGCTAACGTTGACTCGCCGCTTTTCTTTCCTGATATTAATCCTTTTAAGACAGAATCGCGTTTGAGTCATCGGATTAGGAGGTGAGGTCGCGTCCCAAACCCCTCCCCCCCCACGCTTCATCTGCGTCCTGAGAGTATTATTTATGAAAGAGCTGCCAATCTTGCAAATGCATCCTGCCTGGCGCACATCTGCATCCCACGCCGGGGACCATTAGAGAATGAATGGCGTCGCATCATTGGATGGAATGGAGGGAAATCCATTTTTCTGGAAGCCTGACGTACGGGACACCTGCAGAGACGTTTCATTTATTACAAGGTCCTCCGGCTGAGATGCTGCCAGTCCGTGCATGTAATATGTAGTTTGGATATGTGTTCCATGAGCACAGCACCTTTCAAGGATACAGACTCAAGAGAACAATTCAACTAAATCATTAAATAAGCCGATTTACAACTTGCTATAGATAAGAGCCATTAAAGGCACAATTTAAGTGCTACGTCTTTTTAGTCAAGGTAGAGTCTGAAGAGGTGTGTGTCTTTAGTCTGAAGATGTAGAGAGTCTCTGCGGTCCTGATGTCATCAGAGCCTCATTCCAGCAGAGCGGAGAGTGCAGGTTTGACCGTGTCCTGGATGTAGACTGGACCCTCACTCTCACTCACTCACCCTGCTGTCTCTCCTGTTTCCCTGCATGATCTCCTGTGTGAGGTATTTGTATTCATCTTTTAGCCCACGGAGCCGACCGATCCGTCCGTGTTTAGCTTCCATCAGTCGATTAGCTGGCTCGCGTCATGCATTTGCTTTAAAGGCCAATGCGTCTCTTTTTTCCGTCCCGGTCCGGTGAGACATTTCATCATGCGTTGGGGAACTTGATTAGCAGAACTCAAGCTCCTGGTTGTGAACGCGTCGTCCCACCTTTTAGCCATTAATCTGGGTTATTGGTTGTGTGGTGTTCATTAGTCACAAGGAGTCTAAGAAAAGGTCTCACAGCACAGCGCGTAATGTCCTTCCCGTTCATTTGTCAAGGTGGTTCGATGGAAGTCATTTTGGGCCTTAAAAGTCTACGAGCTGCCACAGGCACAGTCTGTCTGGTCTAAATTATTCATTTGCTTAAGACGTCTGGACCCAGATGGAGAGAGAAAGGGGGGTGAGGCCGATACTTCACGCCTGCTGATTTGCATTCCAAAGGCAAACATCTGCCTTTAAAATCTTCACAACCACAGAACTTCGTGGTCGGTGTCCAAAAAACTGTATTCATAAAATAAATGAATACATTTATCATTTAACATTATTTATTTTGGCATGAAGTATATTTTTTTGTTTGAATTGTGGAGCCATGAGAGCTAACATGGGATTTAGGGCTTCGTCTTCCATCAACTGTGCCTCTTTCTGTTTACCACCCAGTTGTGTGACCTTGACGTTGGCCTCAGTGAAGGAAAACACCAAAAGACACAGAGCTGAAAACCTGCAGCGTTGAGAAAGAATAGAGAAAACCACAAGATTTCCTTTTCCTGACCCGTCTGATGGACCTTTCAAACTCCTACCAAAGCCTCTCAGGATCTTCAGTGTCATCGCTCTTCTTTTAATGTAGAAATTCTCTCCAGGTGTGATAGAGCAAACACACAAACCCGCGTTGAATCCTAAGTGTGCGGCACTTCATCTCTGTGTCAGTATGAGGCTCCTGCACTTTACCTCTCCCCCCATGACACTGTGCATCGTGGGCCATCTTAGCACTTTGCTTTGGACAGCAGGTCCTGACTCTGCATCCATCATGTTCAGCTCATCCATTTCTATCTGTGCACCTCTGTTTCTGTCGTTGCCTCCTTGCTGTATGTCCTCACATTGAGAATGAATTGCAGTGTTGTCCTGTCCACTGTCCATCTGTTCTGTGTTGTCTTCCAGCTCTCTCTGTATATCTTTATTTACAGTTTTCTCCTCCCCTGCAGAGCCTACAGATCTGGGTTCAATGCATGTTTCGGAAAACTCACTTTCTCTTTCAAGGGAATACTGATGTTAAAAATGTTTCCAAACCAGAGGTTTTTGGGATAATTTTGAAAAAGTTTTGCGGCTTTATGTAATAAATATTATCTTAACTTATTAATAGTCAGCCGCCTGGCTAGAAGAGCCTGTTAAATCAATCAGGCAATTAATTATAGACAATTGCCCCCAGTACATTGGTTGGCTTGGTGCGGCCTGTCTGGCCCTGTGGGTCTCCGGCAACACGAGGAAACAACAAACAAAGCAGCACCAGGAACACCAGCACTCACAGGGAAGCCAGTGTGACCAAAGTCCACGGGGGACAGTGTCCCCAGAAGGAAACGGAGCTAATTTGACGCGGCTGTCGTCGTGGCGTTACGCCTCACCCTGCACTCTCAGCCTCCCTGCCTCCCTCCTCCCTCGGGCTCTCTTGGGGGTTCCACACTGACTCTTTAATGAGCTGCATGTATACACAGTAGCCAGATGCCAGCAGAGAGCCATTAGCTCATGTTACAGAGAGGGAAGGGGCACCCCGCCTCCCTCGACCACATCACTCAGCCTCCCCCCCCCCACCACCACCACCACCATCCCCAAGTTATTGTGTGAGAACAATGGGCGATACGCTTAAGTAGTCAATGTGAAGCCCATTTGTGTGTTGCTGCTTATTAAACCTGCCTCACGATGTTCTCCAATAAAAGTCTAATATTAATTGTTATTATGGTCAAATGGAGTGTATCTTTAAAGAGGTGTGCGTCAGTGAAACATAAAGTGGCAAACTAATGTGCGATAAGGTGATCAAAGTCTTTTCAGAGCAGTTTCCCGTAGTCGTAGTTGAGAGTGTGACGTAGGCTTTAATAAACCAAGCACATCAGTCAGTTGTCCGTTGTATATTCCAAAGAGAACTTATACATGAATACATCATAGAATAACGTTGAACGAGCACATTTTAGTAATTGTTATGCTGTTTCTGTGGCTTTACCTCCCCGGTGCCGCATGGCTGGCCGAGCCTCGCCGAGCAGACACCCAGCCCAAACACGGGGTCCCAGCTGGGGATTTTACTCCGTCTAACTGGGACAAGATGGAGGGGCGGGAGGAAAACAGGCACAGCAGGGGGTGGAGGTTAAAACTAGAGGCATATTTTATTAATTGGGTGGAGCCTTTAAGTCATCTTTATTAA